GGGGGAGGGGGGGAAGGGGGGGGCGGTTAGGGGATTGGCTATTCTCTACTCATGGGGCTAGTTGGTCTAGTAGTCATGTCTAGTTTAATTAGTATCCAGCTTCTTTGTCACTCCAGTCCAAATTGATCCAATTCCACACAGAGGCAACAAAGGCACTAAGTAAATTTACCAAATGAATAGCTACACTTATGACACTATATTATACATTGTATTACATACTAAAAGAAAATTATTTATTACTCATTTATAGATAGAACTATTTTCTGATAAAATAACCTGTCTAAATTAAAAAATTTAAGGTCTAAAGTTAAAGACTACCTAAAGAATACTAAAAACTTAATAGTAAGTACCGGTACTAAAGTTCAAAAGTGATTCTGACTGATTCTGAGTCAGTATAGAAATAACCTATTATTGCAAAGACTTACAAATCCTAAATGAAAACAAACTTTATCAAATCCTAATTAATCCAAGTCTGTGTCAACTATGTAAGCAATGTAAAAAAACTTAACAGCATTGCTACAAAACTATAAAGACCAAAGTTTTGAGGGGCTTTCAATGATTCATCATAGAATGGATTTGTTGGGGTGGGGGGGGGGGGGGCTTTCAATGATTCATAAAACAAAAACAGAAAAAACAAAAATATATGCTATGGGAAATAGTAAAAAAACATTGTTTTTATATTTATGGCATTGACAACTATATGACCAACTTCAAAGACATATGATTTTGAATTTAGACAGCAAATATAATACTATAACTTCTTTAAAAGACACATTTTTTCATTTAAACTAATTTTATTATTTTCAAAGTGCAACCTTTTTTAAAATTTTACAACATAAATGTATATTTAACTTCAACTTCAATATGATAATCATAGATGTTATATTGCACTTATAACTTATACTTTATTTTAACTCAAGTCTGGGACTGCTAAATTTCCTGAGTCTACTACATTAATTTGTCTTATACTGCCTGCTCAAAATGACAACTAAATTGGGAGTTTCATCTCTACAAGAACAATGCTGCAAGGCAATTAGTTTGAACTGTGAATATTATCATGAGTCCTTTTTAGAAGGTAAGTTTCAGAAAATTAAAATATTTTTAATAATCTTGTTTACTGACTTTGTTATATGTTTTTTAATATTTCTGCTCTCCATGAAAAATAACCAGAATTATTACTAGATTTTTAAATGGATTGCCTATTTTATTTTTTTATGTGAAGGGCAGTGAACCTAGACCTATGCTGGGGTACCATGCTATATAAGACCACTTTAATAATAATAATACTCCTAAATGGATTCTTTCAATAATTAAGTCCAGTTAAAAATTTGTCTTTATCCTTATCAGAGCTGAACCAACCCTGTCTAAGTTCACTAGTGGATCATCTTTCTATGTTTGATCTTCTGCGATTAGAGCATGTTTTGCAAGGACGAGGTAATTTCAAAAAATCATTGTAGAGTTACAGTGTTTATAAACACTATAAATCTGCAATGATTTTTTCGTATAATAATTAAAATATTTATTCACATTAAAAAAATTTTAAAATAAAGACTACTTTTTAAAATAATTATTTTTAAATATTCATTTTCATATGTTTGAGGTAGGAATATTTTTTATCATTTACAAATTTTGAGGGCAATAATAATTTTAATATACTTTTATAACATGAAATAATTAATATTCAAATACAGTATGAAGTTTCACAACATATAAGAAGAATGTAATTAAGTTGTTTTTAAATAAAACACACCTATTAACTATTAAGTTGTCACATTTTTACATTATTGACATTGTTATATATTATGTTTTAGGTATCGACACTAAAAGTGCAATGTATAGATTACAGCGGGTTTTTTTCATGAATAACGAAACGTATCCCATCAAGTCTACAACATGTCCTCACTTGCTTGATCTCTTCCCATGTGATGGGTGGGAGTGGGGTCTGTCTCGCCTCTTGTACCGCCGGGCCATTGTGCAACTGATAGAAGAGTATGACAAGCATTCAAGTCTCCCTAAAGGTATTTCCCTCAAGTTTCAATTTCAGATGAGGAGTTTTTACATGTAAAGTTAGATGAGTTTATTCTATTAATTTATTCCACTTGTCTGGTACAGGTGTCACATTTATTTTGACAGCACTGAGTCACAACCGCATCGCCACTAGTGTATTTAACATTTTTATGACAAAAAGATATGCTACAAGTCATTTGTGTTTCCTTCTAAGGCCCTTACATATGGCAAGTCTTCTTTGTTGAAATGACACATGATTTTTGTATCAGAATCTTTTAATATTTGCTTTAGAAGTGCCAACCATATGAAGGTGCAAATATTTGTGAAAAACACAGCAGTTAAATACAAAAAAATTAATTTAATTAAATACACTGGAAAGTAATTGTAAAGTATTCTAAAAGATCTTTATGTTAAATGTAATTTACTTAAAAGGGACAAAAAGTTCAATCTCAGTTAAAATTTAAATAGTTTGATTTTGGAAACGTCCATTTACTTTACTTTTAGTTTTCTAATTTTCAAAATAATATCTCCCTTATCTCAGATTTCTACATTTAATATTATTATAATTCAAATCTTCTCATTTGATAATGTCAGGGTGTAAATGATATACATTTTAAATATGTATTTAACATTTTATTTGTCTTTTGGTTTGAACACAAACAAAAATACTTTTAAAAAAAAATCTTATTTGAAATATCATTTTTCTAAGTCCTTTAAAACTACATTGTTTTATTTGTGTGTTTATGTTTACAAAAAATAACTTGTATGAGTTCTTGATTTTACAAGACCAGAAAGCTAACTTCCATTTCAATGTTTGAATCACTTAGACATTCAAGGTCACCTGGTGGATGTGCATGCCTATCTGCTCGATCTCTTCTGCCCACCACAAACTATTCACAGAGAGAAGGTTAAGGAAAAAGTACAGAAATCTGAAGAAATGGTTTTAACACTAGCAGCATTGGCAGCACGCCACATCCTCTTCATCACAGCTGACCATAAACAATGCAAGTTTCTCCTTGACAAAAGATTCGGAGCTATACTAGATGCATTTTGTGAGTCACTGCTTGTTATCTCCCTTATATTAAAGAGCTCCCCAACTCTTTTAAACTTGGTAAATGTCCTAAAAAAACGAGCAAAAAGGCTGGAAAGAATCTGTATCAATGTGATACGAACCAATGATTTGCAGTACTTTGACGCCATTTTGTCCACGTGCAGTGGAGTGGTCAGCTACTATTTGACAGCTGAGGGCAAGAAGGAGAAAGAACTACTTGATGCTGTTGTCTCTGAATGTCCTGATGACTTATCTACTTGTGACACCAGTCAGCTCATACACAACTTTGAATCAGATGTTCATAACTCTGTGTCACAGTAAGTAACATGATTTTAACAACTAAACTTACATTCCCACTGCAGATTTTTTTCTTGTATTCTTAAACTTTCTGTGACCACGTGCTACTCTGTGACCACTTGGTACTCGCTGCAACAAAAACGGGGCCTCTGGTTTAATTTTCACAGGATTTTTTTTAGTGTTGCAGTATATTGTCTGATAGCATTATACAGAAACAATCCCATCATATTCTTCTTCTTCTTCTATATCTTAAGGGCCCACGATCAATTTATTGATCATTTTGGCTCCTATGCATGTAGATGGGATTTGCCATGTTTGACAATGACCACCACTACTCCTTTAATACGTGATCCCGTTTGAAGGCTTGAGGCAATAGACACAAATGTGTCTAGTGTTGTCGCCTCAACTGTTCCTTTTGAAAGATGGTTCCAGTCCCTGATTGTCGTGGGCAGGAATGAGCAGCTCCTATACTGGCTTCTTGCTGGTATGAGCCTGAATTGCCTGTCATGGCCTCGTCGCTGTCTATGGGGGAGAGGGACGAGTTTCTGTTTAATACTGGAACAGTGGACCAGTCCATTATTTATCTTGTACATCATGGAGAGCCTGGATTGTCGTCGTCGTTTCTCCAATGGTGACCAGCCTAGTGTTTCTAGCATGCTTCCAACACTAGAGGTATTCCTGTAGCGGTTTAGGACAAAACGTGCTGCTCGTTGCTGGACCGCCTCCAACCTGTCAATGCTCTTCTGGGTAAATGGGTCCCAGACTGAAGATGCATAATCTAAAATCGGACGGATAAAGGCTTTATATGCTCTTTCTTTCACACAGGAGTTGCCAATCTTTAGATTTCGCCTTAAGAACCCCAAGGCTTGGTTTGCTTGGTTACATACATTGTTAATATGCTCGTCCCAGCGGACCTCTCTTTGAATGGTAACACCCAGGTACTTTACGGAGGAAACTTGCTCAAGAATATGGCCGTGCAGTTTGTATTGGTAGTGTAGAGGAGTACAACTTCTAGAGATTGATAGTGTCTGGCACTTGGCAGGGTGAAATTCCATGTCCCAGCTCATCTCCCACTCAGCTAACAGATTGAGATCCTGTTGTAGCTGGTCCTGGTCAGATCTGTTGGCGATCGTCCTATACACTGCTGTGTCATCTGCAAACAATATTTTTATCAATGCCCATGCATCTTCATCCACCACTCACAGGCTAGTAACATAGAAACTGGTCAAAAACGGAGCAGTTATAAAAAAAACACAATGAATTTAATATAATCTGACTTGTTTACAAAACAATGTTGTATTCAATAATAGCCATATTTTGTAGTTCTAAGATTAGAATTCATGAAACAAATTTCAAGTTTGATGTTATTTGAGTAGACAAGACAAGAAAAGATTTTACAGGAACAATGCCTTTTTTTAAAAAATGGAATCAATTAATTGTTTGATTTTATTTTTAAATTTTCCCTTGCATGGTCAAATGTTCAAAATTGATAATTATAAACAAAATTTCTTCATGCTGAGTGTGAACACCAATGTGGGATATCCTTGTTATGGATTCTAAACACTGATTAACCACTGAGCTTTGTTACTGCAACAAATCTGCAGTGTGTATGTCACCTTTAATTTTACTTTGTTATGATTTCTTTATCATTATTTATTCTGGCAGCAAAAAGACAAATTAATTTGGGAGATTAAAGCTGTTTTGCATTGACAGCAGATTTTTAATTTCATGTGAAATTGGCTGCTGACTTCTGACTTACGTGGTTGAAATTTTTTTACTCAGGGTTTACCTTATCAATCAACAAATGAGTTTATTGACCCATAACTGGAGGAAACCATCAATAGATGAATTTATTGACCCCTAACTGGAGGCAATCTACAATCGTTGAATTTATTGACCCATATCCGTAGTCAATCATCAATTAATGAATTTATTGACCCATATCTGTAGGAAATCATCGATAGATGAATTTATTGACCCATATCTGTAGGAAATCATCAATAGATGAATTTATTGACCCATATCTGTAGGAAATCATAAATAGATGAATTGATTGACCCATATCTGTAGGAAATCATCAATAGATGAATTTATTGACCCATATCTGTAGGAAATCATAAATAGATGAATTGATTGACCCATATCTGTAGGAAATCATCAATAGAGGAAATTATTGACCCATATCTGTAGGAAATCATCAATAGATGAATTTATTGACCCATATCTGTAGGAAATCATAAATAGATGAATTGATTGACCCATATCTGTAGGAAATCATCAATAGATGAATTTATTGACCCATATCTGTAGGAAATCATAAATAGATGAATTGATTGACCCATATCTGTAGGAAATCATCAATAGAGAAATTATTGACCCATATCTGTAGGAAATCATCAATAGATGAATTTATTGACCCATACCTAGAGACCCTTAGTTGAAGGCAGACAAAGTTTCACGTGTGTCAGGGCTGAAAAATCATTGTTTAAAAATAAATGTTTGACAAAATTGTCTTTTAAAATTAGTTAGTTTCAATTAAATGTTGAATTATGAGAAGCATGTAGTATATGTTTTATGTATGACCTTCGTACTTATTATATGATTTGACTGTAGTACTTTTTCAGTATGCACATTAGAAACTTTTTTGCATCTTTTATCTTTATTAATCAGTTAATGTCACTGTCCCATCAGCTTGGTCAATCCATCAGAGTTTGATTTAATGGATGATGCTGTGTTGTTTGGGACACTTAATTCATCCTCTCAGTTGTAAGTAACAGGAGAATGTCACAGAAAAATTCTACTATTTATTTGATATAAATCAACCATTAATTTAATACAATTCAGCCATTTACTTAATATTAATCAGATAAATGTACTCTACTGATCAAGTTTTCAAAAGTAAAATTAATTTCTAATGAAATATTTGATTAATTTTGTGTCACAGTTTAATGGAAATCTAATTGAATAAATTTTAGATTTCTCACTTGACACTATTTGATTCCACTCCAAAATTTAATTAAATAATACAAGTATAAAAGAAATAATTTGTAAACAAATGTTTAATGACCACCTCATAATGTAAAATTAATTATTTCCCAAGTGACAGTGACAGTGGAATGCAGAAAGCTGACTTTAAATTCACCAACTTAGTTGATAAGAATCTGTATGTACCAGTGTTGGACCATCACTTGCAGTCTTGGCTGTCCATTCGAGAGCTTCACTTAGGGGGTGAGTGTCCAACTTTGAACTTTTTGTAGAGAGATTTTTGTAAATATAAGTCGATTTATTAACAAAAGGTGTATTTTGTTTAATCCACAGTACCCAATCTACATCCTAGATTACTTCAAGGGATATGCAGTTTGCTACAGCGACCCCAGTTTAAAAGCTTTACTTTGTCATCTGCTGATTTCAGACACCAAGTCTTAGATGACATTCTCACAACTGTAGCGAGACACAGGTTGTTAACATTAGATGTAGCCAGCACAGGTTGTTAACATTAGATGTAGCCAGCACAGGTTGTTAACATTAGATGTAGTACAACACAGGTTGTTACCATTAGACGTAGAACAACGCAGGTTGTGTATTTCAGCATTAAATCTTGCAGAAGGCAAGATGCTCATGTTGATTTTTAAAAAATTATCAAATTAATGGACATGACTGATTGATCAGAAGGAAAATGAACAACCACAAGGGCTTGACAACCCAAAAAAAAACTTCCTTATTGAGATGATTTTTACGTTTAGTTTTATTTTTTATGCAAGATATGGGGGAGGTTCACAAAATATCACATTTTTTAACAACTGCCCTAATCCTTATAACATTTCCATTGACCACCCCCTTAATATTAAATAAAATTTCAAGGACAACACCCCTCCCATAGTTTTACTAAAAAAAATTGGTTTTTAGCATTTTTATTAAACAACGGTTAATGTTAACCAAATATAGCCCAGACAAAAGAAGCCCCATAAAGACCGAAATCTAGCAAAATCAAGCAAATTTCAATCAGAAATACAAGGAGGACTGCATTCAGATTGAAGCAGTAAGAAATATACAATGGGTAGAGGAGAACCTGAAGAAGGACAATAATAGTTAAAAACAAACACTCTTAACTTGTTGAATAGATATGTAGTCTACAGGAAATTTCAAGCAAAAAGCCAGGAATTTTTTTGTTTTTAATTATAATACTAATTATTTTAAGTAAAAAAATACATCTTAATTTTAATTTAGCACAACACAGGTTGTTATCATTAGATATAGCACAACACATGTTGTTAACAATAGATGAAGCCAACACAGAATAACTTCTTAAATTTGAAAAACAGAAATTTTGCATAAATAAAATTAACAAAAAAAAAACAAGTAAAAAGAATTTATGTAACATTGCACTCTACCACCCCACCCAATCCCATGTAACAAAGTGATAAACCACCACCACCCACTTTATAATGTATATTATTATATGATATGCACTAACATTATGGGTGGAGCAAAATCAACATCTGCTACAAAACCTCCAAATGAGATACAGAGCTACAAAAAGTCCACATGAATTACAAAGCTACTAAATGTCCACATGAGATACAGAGCTACAAAATGTCCACTTGAGATACAGAGCTATAAAATGTCCACATGAGAGACAGAGCTGCAAATCATTCACATGAAAGACAGACTTTATTTTGTGCCCCATATTGTATGTCTGTTGATTTTTTTGCTCTATATTACTTTGGGAGATAATGTCCCATGTTCTATGTCACTACAAAGATAATGTGCAATGTTCTACATCATTGCAAAGATAATGTGAAATGTTCTACATCATTACAAAGATAATGTGCAATGTTCTACATCATTACAAAGATAATGTCCCATGTTCTATATCACTACAGAGAGAACAACCCTCTGGATAAACTGATGTTTGTAAGCCTGCAGGAAAAGGTGGATAACATGGAAGATCATCTAGTCACAGATCACCTTAGTGGCAAAAGTAATATAAATGGAGATCAATGAAAAGATGAATTGTAAAATAAGTCAAGGCACATGTAGCTTTGGTCTTGTAAAATAAGTCTAAGCATATATAGCTTTGGTCTTGTAAAATAAGTCTAGGCATATATAGCTTTGGTCTTGTAAAATAAGTCTAGGCACATGTAACTTTGGTCTTGTAAAATAAGTCTAGGCATATATAGCTTTGGTCTTGTAAAATAAGTCTAGGCATATATAGCTTTGGTCTTGTAAAATAAGTCTAGGCACATGTAGCTTTGGTCTTGTAAAATAAGTCTAGGCACGTGTAGCTTTGGTCTTGTAATATAAGTCTAGGCACATGTTGTCATGTAGCTTTGATCTCGTAGAATCACTTTTAAATGAAAGCCTATTCATTAATTTCTCACAACATAAATTTAATATTTCCCTATAAATCTAATTACAACTGTATCATGTGATAAATCAACAAATGTATAGGATGCAAGGGTTAAGGTTAAAAATATATTTTTATTAAGATACATAACATATAGTTGACCCAACACAATAAATGGCTCATAACATCTAGTTGGCCCACCACACTTAAATGGCTCATAACATCTAGTTGGCCCACCACACTTAATGGCTCATAACATCTAGTTGGCCCAACAAAATTAAATGGCTCATAACATCTAGTGGCCCATCACACTTAAATGGTTCATAACATCTAGTTGGCCCACCACACCTAAATGGCTCATAACATCTAGTTGGCCCAACACAATTAAATGGCTCATAACATCTAGTTGGCCCATCACATTTAAATGGCTCATAACATCTAGTTGGTCCATCGCACTTAGATGGCTCATAGCATCTAGTTGGCCCAACACACTTAAATGGCTCATAACATCTAGTGGCCCATCACACTTAAATGGCTCATAACATCTAGTGGCCCATCACACTTAAATGGCTCATAAAATCTACATGGATCTAAGTTAGTGCACCATGAAGCTTTAATCGTTTCTGTTCATTTTTTTTTCTTTAGATGATGAAGAAATGGAAATGTTTGTAAAGCAGTTTGAATCCACAAGGATAGCAGAGACTGCAGGTAAGTACTCGGTGGAGTACAATGCTTCTTTACATTTTTTTTACTATTCCACTGTTAAGTTTTTGATGTTTCATAATCTGGTGTTACATAATTGTGTTGACCTTGTCATTTTATCATCCACGTTGATGTTGCCATTGTATCACCGATCTACTGTAGTTTCAAGTCATGAGGCTTTTGGAACTTAACTTGTTTAACTTAGGTGTCAAGTCTGAGTGTATACTGCTGGGCTACGTGCTCAAAGATGTGTTCATCACTGAGTTGACATTTTCACTGTATCACCCATCTATTTTTGACATTGTCGCTGTATAACCCATCTCTTGTGTTGACAGAGTTTCAAGGCACGAGGCTGCTGGAACTGTACTTGTGCAGCCTGGGTGTCAAGTCTGAGTGTATACTGCTGGGCTACGTGCTCAAAGATGCTGCATTAACCAGCTTGTGTTACAGTAACAGTGTGTCCCGGCTGTTTGTCCAGCTTCATCTCAAGTACCTCACTCTAAAAGGTGAAGTAGAAAAATTTATTCTAAATGCTAAATCATGCAACCATGATTTAATACAGAAATGTTAATGCAATACATGCAGCGCACACTTGAGTAGCTAATAGTAAATCTACATAGTTAAAATACAGTAAATCTACATAGTTAAAATACAGTAAATCTACATAGTTAAAATACAGTAAATCTACATATTTAAACTACAGTAAATCTACATAGTTAAAATACAGTAAATCTGCATAGTTAAAATACAGTAAATCTACATAGTTAAAATACAGTAAATCTACATATTTAAAATACAGTAAATCTACATAGTTAAAATACAGTAAATCTACATAGTTAAAATACAGTAAATCTACATAGTTAAAATACAGTAAATCTACATAGTTAAAATACAGTAAATCTACATAGTTAAAATACAGTAAATCTACATAGTTAAAATACAGTAAATCTACATAGTTAAAATACAGTAAATCTACATAGTTAAAATACAGTAAATCTACATAGTTAAAATACCTTTTGTTCTTGACGGTCATGATCTGTTTTTAGTTTTTCTTAAGAGAAAAATAAAACAATTTCACTGAATGTAATTAAGTATTATAATCATCAAAATTAAACTATTTTTCAAATGCAGTAAGGATTTTGTATAAGTTCTTATGTTATACCTGCTGCTCATAGAAGTTGTAAGCTGTTAAATTTTATTATTGTGTAATTTTTATCTTAGATCGTAATAAATTCATATTTGACATAAATTAACTGCACAGAAAGACGGCTGTCAACATTAATCCTTGAAGAATGGCAGATACTGAGCACTACAAGTTGCCAAGTTTTGAGCAATTTTCTGACCTCTGTCTCATCATCATTACAAAACCTTAGCCTTAAGGGATGCCTCAACCTATCAGACACAAATAGGTTTACAGGTAAACATTTATTTTGCTTGTTATTTCAAATCTTACCATTTGAGAGATATTGCTGGAAACAAGTCGTGCATGAATTATGCACATACTTACACACAAGTCTATGCCGGTTTGTGTGGGGGAATTCACACAAAGCATAATTACTCCTGTGACATTATATTATTTATAGAATTGAGAACTGGGTTTCAATATTTGATAAACAAATGTTTAGCCCATTCCACACATCCAGCCAGAACTTGACAATTCTAAAATCATTAATTATCTGCACCTGTGCTTGACAGCTGAAGGCTGCACTTTGTTGTACCTGACATTCTTATTTGAAGTAAAACCAATGTTAAAGCTGACTTCATTGACTTTGAACATGGCTCTTTCTGGTTTGATTTAAAACCATTGCTGAAGCATAAATAAAAATAATTTCATTTTCCTCATTCCAACATAGCAGACCTGTTTACTCTTACTAGGTTAGTACACAATGTACAATTTTGAGATGTCTTTTACAATCCTACGCAGAGACCCGTCAGAACTGCAATTTTAAGAGACCTGGTTAAAAAATATTTTCCCTCCACCAATGGGGGGGAGTTTGGTAGCCAAACTAAATAATTATGTCACCAGCACTTAAAGACTACAGTGTGTTGTCTCTAGGCTAAATATTACTACAGCTATATTTAGCTAGCTATTTATAAAAACCTAAAGCATTAGTGTGACGATAACTGTGAAACAATGTGGTGTTATTTTTGTAGCCTTAATAGGCTCCATAAGAAATCATGGATTTAACATATTTTTAGGTGACAGTTGGCTTTATTAGAGACTGTCCGGATAATTATTGTAGAGCTTATGCATAAATGTATGCACATTCTGGTGATCCCCCCCCCCTGAAGCTGTCATATGCATGCTCATTGTGTACGTAATATATGGACTTCCCCTTTCGTTGACAGGGTGAAGGAGTGGGTATGAAAATATGCTGGTTTTTTTCTTTTTGCGTACAGTATATATGAATGTCCCATTGTCCTATCAACTGTGGCATTCAAATTCGCCTACATTGACAGACACAGACCTGTTTACCCTCAAAGTCTTAAAATCGTACAATAACATCACAAAATCATTCAATACATTATCTTAGAGGTAAAAATAAACATTCAGTATATATAATGTATACACCTCAAAATCGTACATTGTACGCCGAAATCATAAGAGTAAACAGGTCTGCAGAAATGCACATTGCATGGATGCTTTTAATGTTTACATCTGCGTGGAATCGTCACTCCTTTCTCAAGATGACATATATTTTTTTAAATGCATTCTCAACTGCTCCACACAGCAGAGTTAGATTTTGACATATTCTATAAGATCTAGTAAGCAGCATTTAAAATCTATTTTTAGAAGTCACTAAGTTGCTGTAAAATTTTAATACCCCAGTTTGGTTCCATCACTTCTCTTCCCTTCAGTAAAATCAGACTCCAAAGCTTAATGCAAGGGTGGGCAACCTGTGGCCCACCACATTAAATGTTTTGGCCCCCCGAATGTATTACAAATAAACTTATTTACTCATTCAAAAAGGGATAATTTTAATTTGATGCATAAACGCACATTTTATATGTAGATATATATACATTATTTTTTTTGGACGGTACTTGCCATTTTGGTGTACCCGCCCCCATTTTGAAAATAGATTGAAATAAGTAATAATTATAAAACAATTTTACTATTTATTAACTACTAAAATAAAAAGGATTTATGTAAACAAAGCTAGGTAAGGGGAACATAATTTTTCATATGCATTACAATTAAGTCTAGAATGATGCAAAACTATATTTAGCTACCGGTATATGGAAAAGTACATCCCTGCGTTTTGAATTTATAAAAAAAATTCTGGACAGAGAGCTCAGCCTCCTCCCAAACCCCACCCCAACTTTTGTTTGGGTGCTCTGGCGGGCCCTAATTTCCGCTACCCCTCCCCCCCCCCCCCCCCACATCTTTGTCTATCAAAGTGGCAAATGACGGGCACATTATATTTGCAATAATGCACTGTATATAAATCTATAAACATCAGTCATCTACTTTGAGGAGTGACCTTTGTTAGAAATGTGATGTGAATAGTTATTGTAAACATTATTCTGCATGTGTATTTATTTACTATTACAATACAGTTTGTACAGTTTTGACATGGTAAAGAACTATGCTGAGACTTTATTGTACTATATCGAGAGTCCCAGTGTAACCAGGTCTGACAAAGTATATCTGACAATTATGTTCTTAGAAAAAGCCCACAGTTTATAGTCTGCTTTCCGTAAGTTTATTTTCATGCAAAAAACATATTTCTTAGGATTGGGTATTGAAAACAGTATTGCTCTTATATTTTGAATAGGTATTTTAGAGAGCATCTCAAACTGCAAGAATCTCAGATCCTTGGACCTATCAGAAAATCATCTTGGTTTGTATACTCCAAATAAGAAATTATTTTAAAAAACACAATTAATATTCATGGAAAATGTTTACATTTTTTAACATTTTAATAATGCTTTAGAACGTAATTACTGCTAAAATTTTCTGAAATATAATTAGCATAATATATTTTTAAAACTCTATATATCTGAAACTATGCATTTGTTATGTACACATTTGTTAAAAATGTATAATATTTAAACATTTCTTTTAGGTGAAAACTCACTTCAATATTTAACAAAAATACTGGCCAACACCCAAGTTAGAGAACTTGCCTTAAGGTAAAAATAATCCACATGTTATTATAATTTTTCTATTATTTAAAAATCTTTGAAACACAACTTGGCTATAGAAAGTTTACTATATTACAACACTAACATCCATATAACTTAACAATAACAAGTTTACTATACTACGACACTAACATCCATTTAGTTAATAATGTCATGTTCACTATGCTTACTATCTTTCTTAATAACTTACATCAATATCCAATTGTAGTTATCAGCCTTTTCCATCAGAAACAGAAAACTTTTTTATCTGGTTGTTTATTTTTAGTCGTTTTGCTGATTTTTAAAAATTCATTATTTATTAGCTGGAGCTAGCATGAGTGCAGTATAGTTGCTTTCTGTCTGTCTGGTATCTGTAGCAAAATTTCTGGTAGGTGTAGCAAGATTTCATTCAGTTATAACTCTAAGACTTGATCTATTTCCAGAAAAAATGGCTTGTCTCTCTCCACTGTCCTCATGCTGTTGAAAGACATTGCTGATCCTAGGAATCACTCACTGGATACCTTAGACTTAAGGCGCAATAAATTTTGGGAGGCTCAAAGACTACAGTATAGTGACCTGATCAAAAATGCTACTCGATACTTGTTAGTAGACCATGGGCCAAGCTCTGCTGATGATACCTGACAAAAACATGACCACTTCTGCATTGCTTAAAATGTTTTGACATGCAGAAGATAAACATCTTTGGTGCATTTGGTCACTTCTACTTAGTTTAAGCTCTGCTTGCCATTTTAAATCATGTGCTGTTTTTATGCATTTTGATCAGATTTGTTTCTAAGATTTACATCACATGCATCAGAGATGAATCCAACTAACGTTGAACTTAGACATCCATCAAAGATGAATCCAACTAACATTGAACTTAGACATGCATCAAATATGAATCCAACTAACATTAACATTGACCTTAGACATGCATCAAAGATGTGGGGCGATTTTACTGATAAGAAAACTCTTGATTGATCTTATCCAGTGAATATCCCAGTCCACAGGAAGGACTGACATTTATCAAAGGTCAAAGTCAAGTCCCCATGAAAGGCTGACATTTATCTGAGGGTTATATTCTATAGGGTCAGGTCGCCATAAGGGGCTCACATTTATATAATCAAAGTCAAGACTAATTGTGTTTAGCTTCCACCCGACTTGGTCTACTAAGTCCTTAAACGAAGATAGCTATCAAATACCTTCTTATGGTTTGGTGGGGGGGGGGGGGGGGGGGGGGGGGTTCATTAAGACGTATGGGGCCCTAATAAAGTTTCAATATTTTACTCTGATAATTGTGTTATAGCCAAACTGTAAACAGCAAGCAAAATTTTAATCCAATGGTTGCTTGTGAATTCTTTCCAGATGTTACACTACCAGTACACTATAAGTTATAGAAGAGAGAATACAAAAAGCAAAGGGAGCTAATTCTGACTTGCTAAGCAAAAGATGTAATGTTCAGTGTAACAGTTCCCTACTTATTTTTAAATGTTTCTTATTATCTATCTGTACCGTATTCATACTGATAGATTGATTTGAAGCTTAACAAAACATTTTTTAAAAAGCTAAAATAAAAGAAATGAATGGATCTTTTAAAACTATTTTTTTTAAAATGGGAGTCATCTTCAACTGAAGACAGTGCAATAATTGTTTTGTCTCATTTTGTAATTGACTTTTAAGACAAAAGTTACAATAAATGAATATGCATTTTAAAATATTAAATATGAATTTAAAAGCCAGGAATATTGAATACATAGATCAGGTTATTTTTCTGAAATCTATTTTTGCAATGTATAATTACTTGCATTTACATCCATCTGAAACCTTTATAAATACTGGACATAATAATTTTTAAGGAGTAAATTTTGATACTAAGCACTTCATTTCACTCACAAAGTCATCTTATAAAACTTAATTACACAATTTTAGGCACAATTTAAAAATTTTCAGCGACACCTTTGTCAAGTTTAAATGAGTTTCAGCATCGAAACAACAAAGTTTCTAGCTATCAAAATTGTTTTAATGTGAAACATCATTTCAAGAAAATTGGAAATTTAAAAGGACAATTGTGTAACAAAAAATATTCTAGCTTGCCATAAGATGTTGTGTCTAAAATGTTTATAATTTGTATTACATTATGTGTATTAGTGCTTCTTAAACTAAATTAGTGTAAGTAAATGTCTTAATCTCTTAAGTTAAAATGTAATTTTGCCATAAAGAATGTTGACATTTTGTATAAATGTTATTTCATATGGTGCATATCTTAACTATGCAATATGACAATTATTTATGTTTCAATAGGATGAACTTTTTCAGATTTTGAAAAAAAAATTAATCTATTTTTTATGGAGCACATCACTCCTTTTTTTATGTCTTTGAGTCAGTCTTTTTAATTTAAATGTTATATGGCCAAACTATTAGTAAGCACTCAAAATAAATTTTAAAAACTCTCACATTTCTTCTTTTTCAGACATTTATAGCTTTTTGCAGTAGTTGTCATGAATTCTCCATGTTGATAGTTTCCCTTATATTCTTTCAACTAATTGCCATGTTTTATTATCTCTTTAAAATTCAGCATTTAGTTATGCAATGAGTTGCACCTGACTTTTGGCTTTCTATAGATATTGACTCAATATACTCAATTTATGCTAGGAATTAAATTTATTTTAGCTAATTCTCTAGTAATGTGCATTTCTAAATTTCAACTTATTAACTTATTTTTTCTTGGTTTATTTTATATAAGTATTACACAACCCCCTCCACTGATGCACATAGCAGTATCATAACTTTAACATGTGGGTTCCCCAGACATAATGTCCCCAGACACCCAACTGTATATGTTGTGGTCCATTATAATTTATATGTGTACATCTCACTAAGTTATTTGTGCCCCCCAGCATAATGTGGATATCTCACTAAGATATATTTCCTACTATTTTACCTATTTCGAAAATCTTTAAACTGCTGGGCATTAGGAAACCCATTTACTTAAGAAAGTTGTGAAGTTATTGATAGATAGAATGAGTAAGTACTGGTGAGGTGGTCAGCAACCTGCTGAGTAGATATTGCCCACTTTTTTTTTCACAAATCTGCAATGACATGCAGTTTTCTAATTATTTTCTCAGCAAATGTAATTTATAAAATTGACCCCTCACTCTAAAAAAGTTTCTAACTCCTGAACATTTGTCATGTATTAGACCAAGGGTGCCATGTATTAGACCAGGGGTCTCAAACTCAAATCATCCGGGGGCCACATGAGGTAGAGTATGAGTGAGACTGGGCCGCATCAAGTGTTCCATAAAAAAGCGATTACAAAATCAATAAAGTACAACTGTTACAATCTGCTCAACCTTTATTAATAACAAATAAAAACATTAAGGTTTCTCAAGAACTAGGCCTGACTTACTTCTTGACCGACTTCTTCCTAATTCTTGTTGCCAGAGAGCTGGCAGCGCTTCTTCTTATACAGCTGAGCAACATTTGGCTTAAGTGAGGAAGCAACTTAATATGGCTTGAAGATGCTCATAAGTCATTTTGGCCCTGAACTTTTACTTGCTAAAGTTCATAGTGGGAAAGAGCTTTCACACAGATATGTACTCCCTAAAAAAAAGGAACATGATCCGCTTTAACAACCTGGAAATCGAGGGGAAGGTGGGGGGCAATGCTCTCATAAATTATCCATGCTTGTTTGTTTTCCCATTCACCTCCCTGAACTTAGAAGTGCACTTAAGATCAATTCGCTCCATTTGAATCAGGAAAAAAAAAGGGGGGTTGGGGTATCTTCCACATTGAAGGAGAAAGGGTCAGCAAAAATTTGAATAGTGGTTATGTGTGTTTTGAAGTCTGCAAACTTGTGATCAAATTCTTTCTGTAGCTCTGCAATGGCATCAGTATAACGGCACTTACTACTAATGGTGTGCCAGAGTCCGTGAGTCCTTTGCATTTTGGGAAATGGCAGAAATTTGTCTGACAACTTTAACACAAGTTTTGTGCAGAATGCCTGACATTGTCATAGGCAACACCGACAAGCTACACCTGGTCTTGTAACGTCTTGTTGAGTACATTCAACTCCTGTGTAATGTCAACAAGAAAAGCCATGTCCGTGTCCCATTTGGGATTTCTTAGTACAAGAACAGCCACTCCATCCTTCTCCACTAAGGCCTTGAAAGCTAAAACGTGTTCAAATAGTAGGCAGGAGCAAGCAATATTTATGTATTATTGATGCGAAGGAAGATGCTATTGTAGTTCGTAGGGAGAATGGATTTTTTATTTTTTAAAGTAGAAAAGGGCTTTTGGACTAACCCTATTTTGAAATTGACCAAGCTGACAGGATCGGAATTTCCCTCACTCGTACGCACTAGAGGCAATTATAATAGGGATTTTTTTTTTTTTTAATACTGTGTCAGATTGCTACGATTTACACATTTATGGTTGGCATTACGCACTAAATGACTTTTTCAACTTTTCTAAAATCCGCACTTAAGCCATGTTTGTCTCATAAAATGCTATAAAATAAAAACTTTTAGTCCGATTTTAAAACAGTTTTCACCATTTTAATCATCGTCCAATTCTATACAAACATAATAAAAATCAGAATTAGACTAGTCGGTGAGATTCGAATGAAACTGTTGCGGAGGGTCACATTATAGATATGAGAATGGGGAAAACGCGCGGGCCGCATTAACACTAATCTTTGCTGATATGTAGCGGGCCGAAAAATATCATTATCATCTTGCGGGCCGCGAGTGTGAGACCCCTGTATTAGACAATTAACACTTTCTCTTCATCTGATCCGATTCAATATCTGTTGATAATTTTATGATTTTGAGACAGCGACATGTTTTAAAACTATAGGCCTATGTTGTTATAGAGATTATTAACTTAAAATTTTAGAAAATATGAAGCCTATTCTTTTAATTTTGATGAATCTTTATGTATCCCACACACTCTAGTCTCTTTACCGTCATAGTACAGAAATTGCGATGTTTTGGGGGTTTTTTTTGTTTGTTTTTTTTTTTTTTTTTTTTTTGGTCTTTCTAAATATCCTTAATGCCGGCTTTTTAAGGCCTACTTATTTTTGGGAGAAATTTTTTTTGTTTTTTTTTTTTTTTTTTTTTTTTTTTTTTTTTTTTTTTTTTTTTTTATAATAATTTTTGTGTGATTTTTTATGGTTTTTTTTTTTTTTGGGAAAATGGGGGGGGGGGGTGTTTAACTATATAATTGTATGTAAATACATGGCATTGTCAAGTGTTGTACATTTCCGCTTGTCCAACGCCAACAACTACAATAGTTGACAAAATGTGTTATTATGTTAATACTAGCATTACCGCATGGGAAAATAATTTATGTAACTTTAAATTGGCCCTGCATTTCGTGTATTACGACTATTAATTATCACTATGTTTCAAATTGGAAGTGTATTTGATCGTTCTTTAATGAAATCTAAACTCTATTAAAAATTATTCTTGATCTCGAAATTGAAAACATATGTTATAAACTATTATTCTTCAACGTTTCCAAAATAATTAATAAATTATTATTAAGTTCTTTCATACTTGTCCATCTTAATCTCTTTAAATAACCAGTAAAAAACAATTGTTAAAAGGCCTTTTTTTATGATAGATACGGTAGTAGCGCAAGCTCCAAGTGACCTTGTCAGTACATGACACAGAAATGGCTTAGCGGTGAGTCATGGAATCTAATTTTAGCTTTTTTATTTTGTAAGCAAAGGCGCGCAGGGATTTTCTGTTGGCGTTTCAGACCACTAATCACCACAATATCGATTTCCTCCCTCCCTCCCGCCTTTGTAAAAAAAAAAAAAAAAATGTACACGCTGAACTATCAGTATTTGGGTTTGAAATGTTTTCATACACAAGCCTACTACTACTATATACTATTATATTATTGATTTATTTAAATAGACCGAGAAGTTACTATGAAACGTTAATTTCCCCTAATTATTTTGCAAGTCCAACTCCAACTTACTCCAAGGCTTGATTCCCCCTTTATTACTACCGTACTTCAACTATGTGTCTTCGCTATTCAGGTGCCTTAAATTGATTTCACTCGTATTTAATTAATTATAAATAGTTATATAGTCTATAGACCTAACAATAGCATTTTTAATAAAGAATGAATAATGGAGTGTTACTTAATATTATCAGAAAATACATAAATGTGTGATCAAACTCACTTATGACTTATTCAATTAGTCCTTTTTTAATTAAAAAAAAACAAATTTGAGGTCGGTGAATTTAAATTATGTGGCGTCAAATAAGTTTTGGTACCTAGACACTGGTACAACCATTTGAATTCAGGAGTTGATTTCCAGAAATTGCACTGCTGCACTGTCTGAATACTTAGGTTGTCATGCAGTGTAAGTTATCCACCCTTCCCTCAATATAGGTAGTAGATAGTGCAATTTTAACTTGGATTTCTGTTTACTACTAAGTTTAAAAAGCAAATTAATGAAAGAAATTAACTTCTTTCAATTATCCCACCCAATTACCAATGCAATACCGGTACATGAATTATGAATATTATCCTGTAGGCCTACTAGGTGTTTTACTAAGAAATTACTATTACATATTTTGTATTGTATTTTAGTATTTTTTGGACAAATTATTAAAGTACCAGAACTGTAAGTGTAAGCAGGTGCTAAAATATTGGGCTGTAGTTGTAATGGAAGTAGCTAGGGTAGAAGTATCTGCTTTTCAAGAGTAGTGGATTAATTATTGATAAAAAATGTTGGACCTTAATTGGCTGATGCCAGTGCAGTTTATTTTTTCTAAGAACCAAGCCACTCTGCTGTTCATAATCTGACTTATGAAAGAAATGAATGATATTTTTACAAATCTTTAACTATTATTAAAATTTAACAGTTTTGCCAATTTTCATCTACATACAAATATAGCAACAGAAGTTCAATGAAGTCTTAGTGAAATACCAGTTAAATAAAAAAAAAGTAAGGTGTTATTTTTAATAGTAAAATAAAATTGAAATGCAATTACAGTAAATTACACATTTTGTTTAGTTCTATTCCAATTACATTTAATAGAACTAAAAAAAATGCAGTTATCATTATCAGACAGGTGCTCTGATTTTGAGACTTTACTTAATATTATATTAATGATTTTATTTGTGATGGATGGACTGTTTGGTTGTAAAAGCAAAATAAATTCTAACAATTTATATTTTTGTTTAAAATTGAAGTTCTTTTTTTTAAAAATTAATACCTCAACAAATTAAAATAATTTTATACTGTACAATCCGAGTGTAATACAAGAGTTTGGACTTAATTTTGTAGTACGGTAGTATTACTTTACTTAACAGTTGTTTGAAGGCTTTGAGTTGTAATGCAATATATTGTTTTTTAAAGTAGTAAAAAATGATTTTAATTAAGAGTTTAATTCACCGTAACTGTATAAAAAGGACTTTGATGATACATACAACAATCTGCTGCATTCTTAGTGTGAAAAGGAGCTAAAAATATATTATATATTTTCCTCTAGTGATGTTGATTAATTATGTGGTGTTGGTATTTTTATTATTATATTTATTTATATAGTTAAGTTTTAAAAGTTCATTACAGTTCAGCAATGCCAGTTTTTATACACACAGGTTCAGTTGATGGATAATGTTATTTGTGAACCAGTGCTTACATTTACATTTAAGTAAAGGAGGAAACATTAATGTGAAATCCCTGACACTTTCTAGGCAATTCACTATGCAAATGTGAAATGATCTCTATTGAATAGAAATTACTGAATCAATATTGTGGAGATTTCATTATTATATTATGTGAGCTTTTGATGACAAACCTATACTGGTTTCAATAAAACTAAAAATGTAAAAAATACACCTCTTTAAACTCTTTAAAGTATTCTTCTTCAACAATGCACCAAATGGCCTATACTATACATTTACACATAATAATTATGTGTAATTTTATTGTTATCCTTTTCAAAGTTTTCAAGTCCAATATTTTGGGATTATGAGGCTTAAATTATCTCTTGTTACACATTTCTATTGGTTAGGTCTAGAATTAATATTTTCCCCACTGCTATACTGCTAATACCTTTTGTACTAATTAACACTTCCGTTAAACTTAAATCAATTTTAAATAAATTAGCTAAGCAATCAAATCAGTGAAATTATTAGTGGACAGGGTCACTTGACAGAGAAAAACAAAACTCTTTGAACATAAAAATTATAGTTAATTATGCTTTGTATTATCAATTTAAAACAATAAGTCATCTTAAAAGTATCACATCATAATAAGCATTAATTACAATAACAAGAACATAATAATATAAACAAACATGATATTTTCAATGACAATGTGATTCAGAATTTTACATATCGCATTTTAAATGATAACAGAAAACTAATTATCATCAAAAAATGGTATATCAGTTTGGTTGTCTCAGTAATGTAAGAAAATCAAACTTACATCAAAAAGAGTAACAATAATATATGAAAAGAATGGCATGTTTGCTGAAAATTTACAACAATGGTGTCAGTAATAAGAAAATGAAAATGAATTCCTTCGCATGTACACAAAATAATCACACTTTATGGAAGCGCCCATCAAAAGAATATTTAGAAAATTATTTAGGCCTAGTTTGATGCAGTTGAACATAAGGTTAAAAATCCCAGCTTGAAATGAAGTGTTGAAAGAAAGGCCGACACAGATGGGTTTGTTTTTATTTCAGCCAGAAAATAAGTCAATTGCAGATTCATAAATCTTTGTATAAAGAACACAAGACGCTAAAGCTTGAAGAAACTAAATGTTTGTTTAAATTAGAATGCAATATTCGGTGCCATCATAATCTGACAGCCACTATTTACATGTTCAACAATTTGCTGCTTAAGTTTCATAACTTGATCTCTAAGACTAGAAGCTGTTGTTACAAGATCATTATTTTGTCCTTTAAGTTCTTTAACACGATCTTCTAGCCGTGAAATCCTCTCCAATTTTCTTGTACGACATTTACGAGCTGCTACTCTATTACGGGCCCGTTTACGCTCAAGTTTAATTTTTTCCTGAGATTCCATATTTATAGGTGAAAGTGGTGGGGACGAACCAAGACAAGGAACAGTTTGTGGTTCGTCTTTGATCTGTGGTATCCTTGCATCTAACCCAGCAGATGAAACAGGCATACTAGCCTTGGTTGTGGGCAGGACAGTTTTGGGAGGACTTACGGTAGATGGTAGTCTACCAATAAGCCCACCAGGCAAAGTTGTTGTCGCTGAAAGTTCATTTGCAGTAGCGAAAACAGGAACGGCTCCTGATGTTGGTACTGTAGCACTTTGAGAAAGCGCCGTGGGAACTGTTAAAGTTGTAAAAGTTCGAGTAAGTTCTTGTGTACGATTAGCTGAAAGTGCCCCACTGCTCTGTAGTTCTGCAAGAGCGTCAACAAATCCCCTAGCGTAGGCCTCCTGCTCCTCTGTTACGAATTTCGGAAATATAAACTGAGTTGGGGTGGGCGTTGTCGTTACCATACCGTTAGCTTGAATAATCATCTTTTCTAACTCCGGTGAAGCCAGCTTTAACATATTAAGATCTGGTGATGCTAGAACAGTTGCTAATTTCTTCTGTTTAGTCGCTGAACTAGAATTAAAGTCCAATGTCATACTCCGTTTTAACTTTTTGACAGCTGAGTCTGGGCCGTCCGTGTCAGAATAAAGCGAATGCTCCATTCTGGACTTTGAAGATGATGTTCGTAAATCCAGATTGAAAAAAGGACACGCGTGTCAATACTGACTCGCCACACACTAGAAAAATAATAATATGAGTCACTTTGGTTTCGGCCGCGTTCCGTTCGGAAGCCGATGATGTTAGTCACACCAAGACGAGTTTCTAGAGAGATCAAAATTGTAATGTTAAAATGCCGTGTGGTACTGCCTATATACGGATGAGTCACAGTGCTATATATGGAAAATTACAACATTTTACAGAATTTTGGTTGGTTAGAAATGATATCATCGATCACGTGGTAATACTATTTTGAGACAACGGAAGCTGGATAATGGTTTAAAGACTGCATAATATGATGACGCTCTACACATGTTTTATTTTAAGCTGAGGATTTCCCCTACTTTCGACCCTTGACCTTAAGGTTGTAGGAATCAATATTATCAACGTAGTACATAGTATTAGTATTAGATTTTGAATGGTATACTTTTAAAATAACTCACTCATCACATAGGGTCAGGGTGGTGGATTTGGGGGGGGGGGGGGGGCAAAAACCCCGTTCTGTAAATTTTTCAATTCCAAATAATGGGCCATTTTTAATGGGTCGATTTCAATTTCAAAGTAAGTAAGTGTAAGTCAGTAAGGATGCATGGAAATGCATGCTGCATACATTTTTAAAACTATTTTATTAATCTTATTACTAGTTTATATTATATTTATATGTAAGTCTTACTCTTAATTTTAGCCTTAACCTACAATAAACACAACTACAACATGTTGTTTGAATACGACTAATACTAAACTAATAGACTAATACTAGTGATAATAATTCTAAGACGGAGGCTACGGAGTTGAAATTATGAAAAGCACCATTTTATTTGCATCGCTCGTTTTAATTTATATTATTTGCATAATAGTAATAGGTTAATGATTTTCTTTACAAGTGGCTATTTTATGGTAGTACTTTTAGTTTAATTTCACTATAATATAAAATTTCCTAGCCTTACACTTTAAGTTAAAGTTAAACTAAAATTATTACCCCAAAACTTTGGAGGAAAAAAATGAATCCAGTCCACACTTAAAACTTAAACAGAGACGTAAACAACCGGAAATATAATATATATTTACTTCAGCATTGTCTGCTATTTAAGTTTAAAAAGAGCAATCATCATCATATATCATAAAAAGAGAGTCTGTAGCTAAACTATGTCAAGATATTTTTTAAAATGATGGAATAATCTTTATATAAGTATACGTTTTGCTTTTACCCTATCATTTATTGTAATAATCTACAAACAGACCTCATAGACATAGACATAAGTAATTATAAGAAGTTGGTATATAATGACGGTATATTATTAAATTATTATTAGTATTACTATTACTTTTAACTTTTAGTTTTTTTAATTTTAGTTAATTTAGTTTCATTAGAACTTGGTTGTGACAGTTATGTCAACGGCTTCGGGTCTGCCAAAAAGCGTCGAGATAACCGATGATCGTGATAACCAAAAACCAGATATATTAACATGTGAGACGGTCCCAAATTATTTCGTATGAATCATGAACAAAATGCAATGCACTGTGTGTATTGTTAGAAAACAGCAGAAATGTCAGTCATAGCTTTTGCAAAAGAACTGTCACTTCACAAACCAGTCAGTAAATACTAAATGTTGTCATTGACGCATTCAGCATAGCATTTGCAAATAGCCGAAAACGTTCTGCTTGTGACTGCTGCGCCACTGAAAGTGAAAGGCCCCCAAGGAGCTGGCAAACAGACAGCGACTAGTACCACTCTGATAGCGGAGTTTACGTTTCGCTTGCATCCAAAGTCCTTTAATAGTTTATGTGTGAATGTCCTGGTCTACTGGATCAACAAATTCGTGCGCATGCACTGTGACAGTGTGCGCATAAATTCCGTTGTTGAGCTGACCGACATGTTGATATCCTTGCCAAGCGTCCGTGATGATAGTTGTCCCTGGTAACATATGATCAGTGATAAAGTGCTCGTGTGTTTTTGCGCATCTCGACAGCCAACAACCTCCATCCAACATCGTCCACTACCACAAACATGAATTTCAAAGAAAAAGATACCTACGACTTTTAAGTAAGAAGAGTAATCATAGGAAATAATTTCAATAATTTGGGACCGGACTTCGGAGGATTGCCGAAATTTCTTCATGTACATGGTGTGCGTTAATAAAAGCATGTACCAGGTACTTCAGTAAAAAAATAATTAATACATTTTTTAATATTACATTTATTTAGAGCAGATTTCAAATTAAAAAAATAAAACCAGAATCAACTTTTTAACTTGAGCTACGAATTTTTAAAGAGCGAGTTCGTTTGGTATTTTCTACTATGGATGAAGCCTCCACATTTTGTGACCTCATTCTGCTGATCATGTCTTGCGCAATGACTAAATAGTTTACATATAAGTATAAGGCGACGCATACCCTTATTACTAAAATACTATTTAGGGACTACTTATTTTGAACTTTCAAATTTGGCACGTGACTATTTAACTAAAGTTTTCCCTGACCAAATGGTCTAATAGCTTTTGCACATGGCAAACTTGTTGAAAATATTAAATTGCTAAGTTACTTCACAAGGAAGATAAGCATAGGCAACCATCAAGGTTAGTTAAACATTTTATTTCATGAGAACAGAATGGTGCCATAGCCTGTCTCACTTTTTCTAGATCTTGAGTCAAGTTAAACCACTCACCGTATCGATTTGGTGGGCGTTTAACTCTCGCTGGTCGTCTTTCATCTAGCTCCTCATCTTTTTCATCAACACATTCATCATCAGGATCATCAACACGAATCACTTCTTCATCGACGTCATTATCAATGAATTCCAGAAATATAGGTGTTGATTCCTGAGAAATTTCAGTCTCCTTCTCAAGACCGAACTTGTTTTCATTAAACAGAATGTCTCTACTGTAAATCACCCTATACGTTTTCAAATTGTATAGGTGATAACCCTTGACATCGATTCTGTACCCAAGAAAAATGCATTTCTGTGTTTTTGAATCAAACTTATGTCTTTCATCTTGAGGAATATGTGCATACGCAACACATCCAAACACTTTAGGTGATCAGCACTGGGTTTCGTACCAGTTTTAACACCTCACATGGTGTAGTACCTTGAAGAGCCTTAACAGGACTTCGATTCTGCAGATATAAAGCTGTTGACACTCCTTCTGCCCAGAATTTTCATGGTAGCTGTGCTTCAGCCAGCATGGAATGTGCTGCTTCCACAATAGTCCTGTTCTTTCTCTCTGCTACTCCATTCTGTTCTGGTGATTTCGGAACAGTCAGTTCATGGCGGATCCCCTTTTTCTTTAAATAACTTTCAAATTCATTTGAAATAAACTCTCCTCCGTTATCGGTGCATAGGGCCTTAAGATTATTTCCAGTTGACTTCTCAACCATTACTTTCCATTCCAGGAAACATCCTTGTGCTTTAGGATATAAACCCAAGAATATCGACTAATCGTCAATAAAGTAAGGAAATAGTGAACTGAGTAAAACAGAGTAGGGTTAAACCTGAAAAAATAGACGCAACAAAACAGCGAACGTGTCGGCAGAAAGCCTTCGTCAGCGAACAAAACAACAGAAAAAACGGTATAAAAATAAAAATAAGAAATAGCACTTAGCTGGTAAGTAGTATCTGTGGGCAGCAATAGAAGTGTGCTGTCAGATTCCGTCCATCTTCAAATCCTATATTTAGAGGCTCTTCCAACTTTGACAATTGAATAAATTCAGATTTCCTGCAACACATATGACGTGTTGCTCCTGAATCAACAATCCAAGTCGTGGCACCATTGACTGTAGTTAAAGCGTGCTGATGCCTCATTAACAGTCCAACACTTTCATCATTTGAGTCTCTCTTAGCCTTAGTCTCAGTGTGATGTGCCTTATGCTGTCTGTAAATCTGTTTACTTGATTCTTGCCTTTTTAACTCAGGACAATCTCTTTTAATGTGTCAATTTCTCTTACAATGATAACATTGGGGTCCTTTCTTTGTTTTCTTCTCTTTTGACACAAGTGCTCTACTTGGTACTTCTTCACTTCATTGTGATATCTTTCTCTCTTCGTGAAGTAATCAATCAGTTACAAGTTCCATCTTTTGAACTTATTTAAATTACTTCTAGGTTCATTCTAAAACACAAGTCCTGTATTTTGAGAAATAATTATTTTTAATTATGAAAAACGTGTTTATTTGTTGTTTGCTATTTATTCTTGCGGAGTTCAAAAGCCTGCAATTGGGCTTGGGGATGGAGATAACCGAAGTTAAGTGGTAAATTTGTCTGCCTTTTGTGCTCAAGATATCAGGGTTAGGTGACATAAAAGAATCGACATAACTGAGGAGAACATGCTTAGACAAAGAGAGAATTTGGCAGTTCCACTTCAAAAACGTCGACATAACAGGATTGGCAAGTTAACCGAGGTGGAGATAAGTGGGTTCAACTGTAGTTAATATTAGTGGGTCTATTATTATTATTCGGACTCTATTATTCCTATTTATAATTAAATTATATTACATACTGGTTACAAATATAATTATATATAAGTAAGAGTTTAAAGTAAGACTTCATAATTATTTAATGGTATGTTAATTTTATGCCTTTAATTTATAATATATTAAGTTAAGGCTAAGTGGAAAAGTTTGCTCGTGCAAAGGCAAAGGAATAAACAGTTGCAAAATATTTTATTTAAAAATAATACTAATACTACTAATAGTATGGGCATGGGTAATCTATTGTTATACCTGAATGGTGTTTAGTCAAGGTACATGACTGTTCATTAACTTTAAGTTTGATAAATATTTCCCTCTTGCATTCCTTCTGTTAATTAGTATAATTCATGATATATAGTAACTAAAGTAAATTAAGTATTTGCATAAGATATAATATCATTCATAATAATATTTTATACCAGCTGGGACAATGCAACCATGTTGCGCTTGTAAAATACAGGAAGAAGCGCATAATGTATAATAATTCCAGATTTTACTCCATATATCCACTAATCACAAAATGCTTAGTGGTATTATAGTGGGTAGTAATGGGTACTGATGCTGTTGTATGTCCTTTTCTGTGCATTTGGTGCATATGCGATCAAGTGCACAATGAAGGAAGAAGCGAATGAGAGTGTCAGTGGGGTGGACAAGATCCACTCTGCAATTGTTTTAATAGATAGTATAAGCTCAAACTCTGTTTATAAAATCACTGGAAAGTAAGGTACTAGTTTTTAGAATTGGTCCTGTTTAGTTTAGACTTTTTACAAGTACAGTTTCTTCATCTTCTGTCAGCTTTTATCAGGAAGGGGGTCACAGGGAGGTACAGACTGTGATTAACCACAAGGTGTGAGACCTGCTGGAGACTCAATGTTGTGGACTTTCAATGTGTCCTTAACCTTAACATACAGTAGTCGATTCAACACTTTCTGTTAATGTATGCAATGTAAGCTTGCAATGCAGATTGGATGACAGGCATTCTGACCAGGTGGCCAAATCAATTAATTTGCAATGGGTCCATTTTCTGGCTAATTAAGATGGCACCAACGTTTCAACCATTTATTTTATTTCATGGTTCTGTTTATGGTCCCTTCTTGTTTTACCAGCTAGTTGCCTTAAACATCTCATCTCTCTGGGGAAGATTTTTTATCCAGAAACCGTGTCTGACAAAGGTACAGTTGAGTGATGCTACTGTACATGGGTAACTGTGGTCATTTAAGCACCTTAGCTAAAGTCTCAATAATAGCACTTAGCAGCCCAGGTGTTTGCTTGAAGCTATTGACTGTTAGCCTTCATATTATGTGTGTGCTTTGTATTACAGGTATGCTGTACATTCATTAAAGGTTTTAATTTTAAATTGTCATTCGAGTGATTCGTAAAACTGGAGACTTACTTTAACTCCTGGTACATTGTAAAACTGACTTACTTTAACCCCTGGTAGACATACTTACTGTGTCATGAAAAGATGAATGTCTAAAAAGTGTGTCACCAACACAAGAGAGTTTGGAAAGAAATTGACTAGTAAATATCATTGTTTAGGAATCAATCCAAACTTTTGGGACTCTTATGTAAAACAATGAATAATGAAATGGTTACAATTATGGAAAAATCTGATTTAATACTGAAGTGGCATGATCCAAATCAATAAATAATTAATGGGAGTTAATCATTGTCAGTTAAGAACTGTCAAAATATTTTTTTCTGCACGCACATGAACAGGTGATTTAATAAAGAAAATTTAAATGATGTTGTCTAACTGAAGTTAACAAAGTAGGCATTTCTTTTACTTTTTTTATTGATTTGTTTTTAATTCACTCAATTCTACATTGGAATTTCAATAAAAGAAAACCAAGGCACAAAAAACAACACAGAATCCCCGACCCCTTCCCCCCAAATGTACCCAGGGAAGTCATCTCGTTGGCACCCCCTCACAGGTTTGCCACTGGTAGTACTAGTAGTTATGAAAATAATAGTCATAAACTTGATTACAGAAACTTAAGTAATAGTCAGAGCTGTTGGGTGGGCCATCTTACCCTCAAATATTTTAGTGGCCGGAAGATCTGTGGTTGAGAAGAAATGAATTTTGAATGCAGGGGGCACAAAACTAAAAATCACAGGACATTTCGGGTAATACTAAAACATTCAACTTTTCTCTAGCTTTTTAAAAGTGATATCATTGTCATGAACAAATTTTTGTATAATTAATATGGTGTGCTTTTTTTTTTTTTTGCTGATGGTAAAGGACTAAGATTTTATCCTTAAATGGTATTTCAGGTCTCAGGTGCTGAAAGGAGCAAAGTTGACAGTAAAACCCTGATTTGTATGCTATTTCATTTACAAGCTGTGTTCTGTACAAAATGTACACACTGGCTAGAAACAAGGTATTGTTCTCATCTTATTAAGTATGTGGATATGTTTACCAATAATTGACTTAAAACTTTAATTATAATATCAAATAAAATATTAGAAAACAAGTCATTGCAAATGTTTGAACAAAATGTATGCACAATTTATATTTCTTGCTATCTTTCAGCTTACAAGTACAATCATTTATGAGAGGCTATTGTTTCACTCAAAAATATATTAAGTCTGTTACCACTGTTATGCACTATGTGTATTGAATAAGGACTTTTCCAAAAATGATTCCTCACTATTGGCGGAATTTTTGTACACATCCCTTCCTCCCCCATCATCACAAATTCATCACAAAATTTAGACATCATCATAATATGTGGTCACAAATCCCCTTAAGATTAATGAGGTCATTTATGTATTATCCTTATGATAACATTATATTATTCTAAATAATTATTAACTGTCATTAGTGGGTTATCGGTATAACGGGTTGGGGAACGTTTTTAGCTATCAACTCAAAATATTTCTTATTGCACAGTCTTTAACACGATCAAGAAAAAAGGAAGAAAAACTTTACTATTTAAATTGAAACTGTTTAATTGAATCTCATAACACAGTAAATACAGTATAAATATAAAAAGTATAAAATAAATGCGCTAAAAAAAATTAATAAGGTCCTTGAAATTTTTTATTGTTAGATAAAACAAAAGGCGACTAGGCCAAAATAAGGTATACAAGACAAGGTATGTGTTTAAACAGGCGGTTGATCCACTTCTTATCAGAGCATGTTTGGTGTTTTTATCTAATACCTCGGATAGATGTAACAAATTTTCTATCTTAACATTGCACTCACTTTTTACATATTTTAAATAACGCCTTTTGAGCTCTAGATTTTCACTTTTCAATGAAAAGAAAAAGACACGACAATTAAAAGGACGTTTTAGTTAGATACCTTCTTCAACAGACAATACAAAAAAAGGAACAACAGATAATTAGAAAGCAAAAATCAAAAACTTATATGTTCGAAAATCTCAATGAAGTCAATGTAGCTTTATTTTGAGGCTTCTGGTGCTTAAACTTCCTTTTGATCATTTACCTTATTTTATAAGTATAACCTACCAACTAAATTTTTTTGTGTGCTTTAATTTGCTTAAATTAATACTTTATGATAGTCTCTTAAATTATTGAATTTGTTTGTCAACATTTTCAAAAATGTAGAATGTTGTTTTGTTTAAAGAATTAGGTGCATCTTTCAACCATGAACAAAGCTGCAAGTCTTATTAAAAAGCTTTTTTATTATTTTTTTTTCAAATGACATTTTTGTCAAATTTTTTCTTTGGTGAAATGCAAGACTGGAAGAACTATAATCTTTATGATAGCTTTAATATTATAAAGAGATCCCAACTTAATAAAGAAAAAAGTGTTTATTATAATAAATTATATCATTGAAACAAAAAAAAAAGTGCCCAGGGGGTGGTGCACATATTATATAATATAAAAAATAGGACTTTTGTTGCCCACCCCCACCCCTTATAACGTTATTTAACATTTCCATTGACCCCAAACCCCCTTAATGTTATATCATATTTCTAGCAACCCCCCCCCCCCCTATATAAAAAATAGGACTTTTGTTGCCCCCCCCCACCCCTTATAACGTTATTTAACATTTCCATTGACCCCAAACCCCCTTAATGTTATATCATATTTCTAGCCCCCCCCCCCCCCCCATAAAAATGGATAAAGTCCAAAAGCAAGTAGAACTGAAGCAAATTTCAATTAAAAAGCCAAAACATATTTTTAAAATAAATATACTGAGTATTGTAAGCAAAAAAATGTATAAATTTTAGCTTTCAGTAATCTAGGCTAATTTCATAAATTTGAAAAGCAGAAAGTTAAGAGTTATAAAAAAATGACAAATAAAAATAATTGTTACATAACTCTCAACCACCCCCATATTCATGTAACACAATCAGTGGTGTAACTAGGGTATGTGCCGCCCATGGAGGGCCAAGATATTTGCCCCCACTTCCACAAAGAAACTATGCATTTGGTCGAAAATGCCTCCTCTCCTTATCAAGAGAATAAGTGCAGCCCAGAGCAGACAGCCTCCCACCCACTATTCCTATGCCACTAAAAATAATATGATATAAAAAATGATAAACCACCCCCTACCCCTTTCGCGTTATATACTGAGATGGCCCATGGCCCCCTATTATTCAAATGCATAATGAGATAAAGGGTAACTGCTAGCATATATGTAGCTCAGTTAAGTTTAAATTACAATGAGTCCTTGGTAGGTTCCCATAATTTGTGCATAATAAATTAAAATATTTAAAACTTTACCTGCCTAACCATCTAGATTCAATTACCTTATTGATAGGGTAATAATTAATGTATACTTGTTTAGGCAATCTTATTTATTTACTTAATTTTTGTTTGTTTGAAATTTTCAATTAAAAAGTTTTTTAGATCTCTATGGAATTCTGTTAGTAAGTTTTAGCCTGGTTTAAAAGTAGCAGCTGAATCAGAACACCTGTAGGTATAAACAGATGAGTAATGCTGTTAAAAAACAAAGATGTCTGGCTAGGCCAGGGGAAATCCCCAAGCCCCTGTGCCTGGCTGGCAGTTGCAGACCCAGTGAGTCACCATTGGGTGTTTACCTCAGTTGTTTGTGGTGACCCAGTTTTCACCACTTTTCAGCTAAGGCTCTTTTATAAGGATTCCACATATTAGATATTGCTGGGTATTAGTATGAACCCCCCCTTAACCTTTATTTAATACTTCTTCTTGATTGTTATTGAGAACCTACTTTAAAATGGTTATGAAAAGGTTAGCAATGCTAACGTAGGAAACAAGAGTATTGGCACAAATATTTTTAGTATTGTAGGCCAAGGTAATGTATTTTATTTGTTTACATTAAAAAAATATACTATAGGCCTAAATATATTAGTTACACTGTTATAATAAATCTAAAAGGCACTTCAGAGTTCTTTTTCTTTTAATTATCTGAGCTACCACAACTTTCGTAATGCCATGAAATGTAATATGTCATAGTACAATCCCCCCCCCCCCCACCCCCCCCCTCTCCCATATTTTTACTTCACTAGAAAAAAAACAACATTTGAATACTTGAAGCTGATTAAAAAAATATTATTGTAAGTAAAAAAATCACTCACCAGATTTCAAAACAATCAAATGTGTAATGTAAAAAATTCAGAGTTCTTTTTCTTTTAATTATCTGAGCTACCACAACTTTCGTAATGCCATGAAATGTAATATTTCATAGTACAATCCTCCCCCCCCCCACCCCCCCCCTCTCCCATATTTTTACTTCACTAGAAAAAAAACAACATTTGAATACTTGAAGCTGATTAAAAAAAATATTATTGTAAGTAAAAAAATCACTCACCAGATTTCAAAACAATCAAATGTGTAATGTAAAAAATATGAAACTTAAAACTTATTTAAATTTAAAATGGTCTTTAAAAAAGTATGAACGAGCTAGTTGACTGTGTTTTAAGTTCTGGTATATGGCTTTACAGTTGAGTGATGCCATAAATAGAAATACAGACCAAAGACACAAAGGTGTTTAAAAGTTCTATTAACTTTTATAAAACATCTATAAGAAAGACATCTAAGCTCACATGTAGAATATATATTTTCCTCTCTGAGTCAGGCAAATGACAAATCAGGAAAATACTTTGGCCCAATAACATATAAATGGTTTACAGTTTACAGTCTGGTAATATAAACATTAGGGGATATAGGTAAGAAAACTAAGCTTTCAGTGGTATGGTTTGTTCTGATTACCTTGACTGCACCCTGGTGCATCCATGTTTTCCCAATGCCCATATACTATGTCTAATGTTATCAAGTGCAAGTTTTCCCAATGCCCTTATGCCAAATTATAAAAAGTGCACTGCCAAATAGCAATTATATATTTATTTTTACAACCTCTGTTTAGTTAAAGTGATTCCTTTTCAAAACTACAAATGAAAAGAAATACTTCAATAACGTCACTTGACTTAATCACATCAATATTAAATTGATACAATCTTCTGCATGAAACTGATAGCTTTTTAATAAATACAAAGTACCAAGCAAGTTCATGAAATACTAAAACAATTAATATACTTTATTATTGTAGCGTACCATCTGTTCACCATTTGTAAAAGCTTCTGCAAACAGTTATTACTAAGTGAGTTACTGGTTTTGCACCAAGTCCGCAAGATGTCACGTAAATCACTTTATGAATATTTTTTGTCAAACCCCAGAGCCCATTTAAGGATAGGAAGCATTAGCCCTGCAAGTTTATGGAGACTTTATCATTTCAAACATAAATGTCTGAAACTTGGTTGTATTTTTTCCCATGTATTCTCAGTCTTTTATGAAAAGGCATGACCTAAAGGAAAAGGAAGGGTTTGGGAGATGCATCAGATAATGACTTCATTGGGTTAACCGTTTCCTCCCGGCCTTTCATTTATGATTTGGATTTTTTAAAAATATTATAGGACAAATTGTATCCAATTAAATGAGTCAGCATTGGTCATTCATCTCTTTAAGCTATCTCTCCCCCCTCCCCAGTAGCTAGCATAAGCTATTGTAAGTGCAGCCCAGGGCAGGCAACAATTATGCCGCTCTCCCCCCCCCCCCATCCACAAAAAAACATATTTGGCCAAAAATGCTGCTGCTCCATATAGTAGCAAGCATAAGCTATTGTAAGGGCAGCCCAGGGCAGGCAACAATTATGCCGCTCCCCCCCCCCCCCATCCACAAAAAAACATATTTGGCCAAAAATGCTGCTGCTCCATATGAAAAAAAAAAAGTGTCATCAGACCTGGTGGACTGTCCCCTTTGCATCCCCTCTCCACGTCACTAACCCCCCCCCCCTTTTCTTTTATAAAAGATCGTCACACTTTAAACTGAAGTTGCTACCACTTACAACTGAGTAGTACATTTTATCCAGCTTAAAAACTGTAATAAAGCAAAACAATGGCTGCTATTTTTATATCTTGGATTGTCTTGATAAACTTGTAAAAATTAAATTCAAGTTTATTTAAAATTTAAATTTGGTGGCTTTGATATTTTTGTTGGGTGGCTGTCTATTTTGGCCATTCCCTCCCAACACTCCCCTGCTCACTTCTCTCACCACTGATCCATTGGGTATTTTTGGTTTGAAAAAAGAAACTAGAAAACACTGGAACAAATTTTGAAGAAGAAAAAAAAAAAAAAAGCTGGAACAAATTTTGACATTTTTTTGTTTACAACTCATCACAATGTTATATATTGGTCTTTGATCAACAACTTGATAAAGCAACTTAAAATTGTCCATTGGTGAATAATAGTTCATGTATGTTACAATATGATTTTAAAAATGTACTTGAGACTTATTTAAAGTTATTATAAAACTCTAGAAAATTGTTACTTTAGTGACCTCAATTTACATATGTCATAGATGTGATACTGGTTCAGATGTGCTTCAGGTTCAGATGTGAATAGTGTAACTCTCAAACTTTATTCTTTATCATAAAATTTCTATTCCTTTTTTTTTTTTATGTCCAGTTTCTCAATGACTGACTTATCACTTTGGCTCTAAGAAACATGATGTTGTCAAACAGAACCATTCACTACCAAGACAATTTGTCTGAATTGTCATACACAGTTCATCAATTGAGAGATGAAGATGAGGAAATCGGTAATGAGAATCTATATGATGATGCTGTCAGTGGTGGAAGAAGAACACAATCAGAGACTTCAGGTATTGAATCTGAGGTAAATTCAAACACAAACTGCCCATAGAGTAATGGAAAAAAGTAATGTTTTTTTTAGTTACTATTTATAAGAAAATAGTCTACAAACTTCATCAAGAAAAGAGAATTTATAGTGAGAAATTAATTTTAAGAAGAGCTGGAATAATCTTTTTTTTTAAAAAATTAATGGCTTAACCAATTATAGTTTTAAAATATCATTTATGACTCTTAGTCTACTCACACACCAGTTAGTTATTTAGTTTCAAAAAAATCTAGGAATTTTACACCTCTCTTTAAGCTCTGTAGTTCTTTTGGAGAAATAAGCTCAATTTACAATAGTAATCACTTAACAATATGTAAAGTATTAAATAGTTAAAAACACTTAAATGGTATTGTTTAATGAGTCCTAAATTTGACATTTTCTAGTCCAATATTATTGTATTTTCCATGAGAGTAGCTGGGGATGATGACAAACAGGGGTTTCCAAATAGCCACTTGAAACAGCTGAAGTGTATGCTCTTGACACACACAAATATGATTAATCTCACTTAAGGTTATTTATATCATGTCAGGCAAACCTAATTATCCTACTTTGTTAAATATAATTTGTCTCCAACACACTTTGGAGAAGCATACTTTTTTACAAATTGGGGAATTTTTTTACAGATTTTGTATTTCCTCCACAATTCCTCCACCACACATAGACTTTTTTGGGATATATTTTGGTGACTGAATATCTCTTTGGAACTGTGATTACACTACAGCAATATTATATTGTCATTTACTCATTGCAAATCTTAAATGAAAATTTCAAACTTATCTGAGCAATTATAATAGCAGGCAAAAAGTAAACTATTAAAATTGCACAAAGTATTTTGAAGATTTATTAAATTCATTCAACTAATTACTTTTTAATAGTATTATTCAATCATGTCTTCTATAATTTAATACTGATATGGTACTACTAGCAACAGGGCCGGCCCTACGGTCGCTGGAGCCCTGTGCAAGCTTAACTTTGGCGCCCCTTTTAAGTATAATCATCAAAGTAAAAAAACTAGTTATTCGTTAATGAATTTAAGGCCTATGTTGTAATTGTTTTTTTTAACAAACAATGAATTTTTCATTATTTTTTTTAAAAACAACATAGGTAATAAACTCATTACCCATTAACTAGTTTTTCCCTTTAATGATTATACTTATGTGGGGCGCTAAAGTTAAGCCTTGGTTAAACTTTCGCCCTGTGCGAAGCACCCATTTGGCGCCCCCTTCCCTGTCCCTGTATATGGCTCCCCTCTCTTTCCGATTACAACACACTTTTTCTAATTTGCGCTTGTGATTTTGCGCCTCGGAAAGCTTTTTGTCCCCCATATTCTTTCTGCTGAAATAATTGTAAGAGGGACAAGCAAATACAGTATTAATAAATTAATTTCCACGCACCTTCGGTTGGTCCCAACCCCAGTGATAGTATCCTAATTAAGAATGCAACTTTCATTGTATGAACACTCATTGTATGAAAAGTGATTGTACGAAAAGTTAGAATACCGTTTCTCAATCCCAGACCCGAGGTTCACACTTGACTATAATAAACTAAGGGAATTTAAATATTTACTTGGTGCCCCTATGGCAATGGCGCCCTCTGCGAGGGCACAGGTCGCACACTAGCAATACCACTTTCAACCAATCATAACAATTAGACCACACTTGTAATGATGTATTGAATAGAATAATGGATGTAAGGAGAAGTAGGCCACATTCTTTGTAGCAACATTTTGATATATTTAATGAAAACTGTGACTAATAAAGTAGTAAAATTATTGATTGATATTTTTCTCCATGATTAGTTTATAATTAACCAACCCAAAAACAAAGTTTCACCAACTATTTCAGAAAAACAAAAGAAAATATTACACACCAAATGCACTTGCAATTTTTTTTAAGTACCTCATTTAGCGCTGTTATCATAAATTTCATTTTGTGAAATCAGTGTCATCAAATTTCCTTCATGTTCCCCTTGAAAAAACAGGAAAAGCTGCTTTTTGGGGGTTGGGCTGAAATTTTGATAGAATGTGTTGTCATGGGCAACAAGTCTATGTGCCAAGTTTCAGCTCTTTAGGTTGACGGGAAGGGGGTCAATTATCCAATCAAAGATTTTGCCAGCCATGAACAAAAGTTAAGTTAATATAAAGGATTTAAAAATAGTAATTCATTTGTAAATATTATGTACCGAAATCTTGTCACATGATATTGATTGATCAATTTGGCATTTCATAACCTGTTTAAAGAATATAAAGCATGATAGTTTATTGCGCTCATCTTTTCATTAGTTTAAATTTAAAAGGAAAAGTAATCTACAAAATATATGTTCACTTAAGGTTAACCTCAGCTCATTTAAATTATTATTATTATGATGAGTTGCAACACCTCTGTCATTAGCTGAAATACATCTGTCATGAGCTGGAATACATCTGTCATGAGTTGTAAAACCTCTGTCTTGAGCTGCAACACCTCTGTCATGAGTTGTAACACCTCTGTCATGAATTTTAATACTTATGTCATGAGTTGTAACACCTCTGTCATGTTGTCAATTAATAAATGATGATCATGATCAGCTGTAACACCTCTGTCATTTGCTATAACACGTCTGTCCTGTTGTCAATATTTTAATGATGGTTTTTATTTTAAATTTTTTTTAGAAATAACTATTAATTGAATTTTTTAAGAAGTTGTTTCAGTCTCCAAAGGTGAATTTGATTTCATCATTTATGAACTTTTTTTAGTGTAGCATTATCTAATTTTGCTTGATTTTCGTTTAAAAGTCTTATTGCAGATCATTCTGTCCTAACTTGGTGATAAATTTTGTTAAACCCATCCAGGTTTACGCATCCATTGTTTGGCAGAGTGGACAGTTGGCATTAGCCTTTTACGATCTTAGCAGTCGACAGATCTTCTTGGTCCCCGACGTTCCAGAAAATGATGATTTCTCCACTGTGAAACAAAGTGAGTCATGGGTAGAAAGTGACATGACTAATCTCATCAAGTGGAACTTGAACACTTGTTGATGATAAAACTTTAATACAGGTGTTGGTATTATTTTATTGTGCTGGAGAAAAGTGACCATTAATTTTTAGAAAATCTTTTAAATAAAAATATTTACGGTAATATCACAGACTTAGAGAAGTGTTGTCTCAAATAATAGTGGAAGATACACTAAGATAGCATATGACACACTGTAGTTATTACATCAAAGCAAAACCAGTGCTACCTAAAGTGGTGCTCTGTGTCAGCCCTCATTAACCAGTCTGCAAAAGCTTAAACAGTTTTATTAGGAGCAAATAATAATAATCAATGGGCATTGTTCCGGCCAGTCTGTCAAATTGAAAATTTGGAGAAGGACTGAGCTAAACTACATTATCCACTGTTTACAATTATTGCCAATTTTTCATGTTTTTGTGTATCCACTGCAAAAAATAATACCTTATTTACTTATACACCCAAAGTTATTCTTATACTCTCATCCATCCATTCATGTGTGGCTGTGTTTCCCAGACTGCAACTCAAAACATTGTTGTCATGCAATGAATGGCTTATGTGCTTGAAAGATTTTTGTAAAATCCAAGAATGAGAGATGTTTAAAAAAATAAATGTATATTCAAATTAATTTGTATTCTTTATAATTTGTGAATTCCATATTATGAATGTGTTTTTTTCTCCACTTTTTTTGTACATTATCAAAATGTTATTTATTTTCTTTTTCATGCATTTTGAGTACTGTTAAAAAAATTGTGGACATCTGCCAGGTAAATTTGTTTTAATATATAAACAAAAGTCATATTTTGATATTATTCTCAGTTTTACGAGAGATACAGCCTACAATTATTGTGACCAGTTCACTGCAAGACAGTCGTTTAATCAGCTGCCTTAAAAGACTAAGTATGGTATCGTTTTATCAGATTTGCACTAAAAAAATCTGTATTGTTTAATTTGAAGTATGTCATAGTAACAAAATATCTCCTTAAATAATGCTTTAAATGTTTATTAACTTTGTTATAAAATTAACTATTGATTTAAAAATTGAGAACTTATTGATGCATGAATAATGTCATCTGCTTTCTTATACTTCTACAGTATCTAATCAAAGTCCTAATGAAATTGGCCTTAATAATGAATCCTGTAGATTAGAAATCTTGACTAATGCTGATTTCAGTAAGTTATAGTTAAGCTGTTTAAGATAAATAAGTTAGTTAGATACATCACAAATCCTTAAATTCTCAACTTCCAACCATGTACTTGCTGTAAACACTTTTCTCTAGGCTATGATGTAGGTAAACGTCGCATTCTGGCACTAACGCTCCCTGGCATGCCCAAACACTTTACAGAGGAAGAGAAGAAAATCTACTTTTCATCACTTATTTCGCTAGACAGAACCAATTTGGTAAACTTATTTTGTGGTTTTCTTTTTGTTATTAGCACTTTATTATTATTATTATTAGCACTAAAAAAGTATTTATGAAGCTTCTGTGTGCTATATTGAGGAAGTTGGAGTATTTTTGTGTGGCTTAAAATAAATACTTGAACCATTTAGAAATAAAGAATTTATGATAAGATTATTGCTTGACATTAACATGTCAATACTTAACTAAGACATTCTTATCTTAGATCCGAGCAGTTGGAGGTTTACTGAAGTACTTACAGAAATCTCGGGTTGGTGTGGAGTTGGAGGATACAGATACTCAAGTACCTGTATTTGGGTTTCATATCTATACCATGTAAGTTATTTCATGTTTGGAGGATACAGATACTCAAGTGCCTGTGTTTGGATTTCATATCTATACCATGTAAGTTATTTCATGTTTGGAGGATACAGATGTTCAAGTGCCTGTGTTTGGATTTCATATCTATACCATGTAAGTTATTTCATGTTTGGAGGATACAGATGCTCAAGTGCCTGTGTTTGGATTTCATATCTATACCATGTAAGTTATATCATAGTTGGAGGATACAGATGCTCAAGTGCCTGTGTTTTGATTTCATGAATATGCTATGTAAGTTATTTCTTTTTAGCTTGTAACTCACAGTCAAAGATGGTAATGACCAACCCAGTTTCAATGAAACCTGGTACTGGTAGTTAGCAAAGTTCTCACATGACTTTCACCTCTTTATCACTTAAATCCTATGCTTTGCAGCTTTCCCCTATGCACCGACCCTACTTTGGAGCAATTTAATTTACTCAATTTTTTTGAGACTTAACATTAGATATATTTACAAAACCAGAAACATTTTACCATAAAATACTGAGAGTTGGCATTATGAAATTACTGGATTTTAAATAACTTATTGTATTTTTTTAAAATCAAATTAAAATCGAATTTAAATCTATTTTTAATTGAAATTCCATCTGCTGATTTAAAAAAGAAAAGATATGCTTATTAATGAGAGTGAAATAAATTTCAGAGAAAATCAAATTCAGATTGATACAATGACCTACTGGGGTCTCAGTATTTTTAACACTGAGCTTCATCCTTCTGTCTACAAAAGTGGTACAAGCAGCAAAGAGGGTTTAAGTTTATTTGGTAAGATACAAGAATGTGTAATGCTGTAATCTCTAGTGATGTATTGAGTATGAAAGATCATCTGTATTGAATGTGAAAGATGATCTGTATTGCGTGTGAAAGATGATCTGTATTGAGTGTGAAGAAGGGTATGCCATCTAGAGTTATAATATAATGTCAGCATTATTTCAGTGGCTTGTGACAACTGATATGAACTAAATACTTTATATAAATTTTTTTATTTGAATATGCATTTAAAAAGTAAGTGTACTATTAAATATACATTTTATTGCATTAGCGTTTTTTCTTAGTTTTTCTGAAATTATATTAAAAGTTTAGCACTGTAATGTCAACATGTAATTGTGTTAACTTCTGTTGTTTTGACAGGAATACTAAACAGATGTAAGTCATCAGTAGGAAGCAGGATGCTGAGGTAATCTTTGTTTGCGTACATATTTATGTGGAAAGTTATAATTTTAGATCTTGATCAGTAGTATTTTTTTGGTAACATCAAAATAAATTATGATGAATCTTCGGGGCCCCTAGTGCTGTTATGTCAATAATAATATCAGCTATTAATCATTTTTATAACTTTTGATGACTTAAAATTTGATGTGTTGGCGCATTTAAATATTTATTATTGCAGGGGTTGGTTTCTCCGTCCTCTAAAAAATGCTGCACTCCTGAACCAAAGATATGACGCCATCTCCTTTTTTCTTAAATCTTGCAACATTGACACTGTGAAAAATCTTCAAGAATGCCTCAAGAAGATCAAATATTTACCTGTGAGCAAATGCCTGATTTAAATATTGTAAAAACATTTCAATTTTCATAACTTTTCAATAATAATTTATTTTAATAATGTGATTGACAAGGTATACAGGTCCACAATAAAACTTAAAAAATATTTCCTTAGTAACTGTTGATTAAATTTGATTAATTTTGATGTCTTCATTACATTTAGTATTTGTTTGTTTCAATTTGTATCCTGGTACAGTTGTAATGAAAGTTTGTAAAATGTACTCCTTTAAACCTATGCATAACAAAGTTAAATATATATATTTTTTAAAATTTTATATCAGAAAATATTGCTCAAAATGACCAAAGCTCAAGCTACCATAGGAGATTGGGTGGCCCTTTTCAAGGTAAAAAAAACCTTGATAAATACAATTATTTAAAAGTAACAAATTATTTATAAATACAATTATTTAAAAGTAAATTTTCATTTAATTACAAAGGCATAACTCTTTTAATTTTAAAAGACATTTTTACCCTTATCTTCTAAATGACCAGACACTTTTCTAGAAAATATTTAAAGAATAAATTAATCACAAGGACATAAGGCCACAAACAGCTGCAGATTAATTAAACAGCTATTATATGGTTATTTTGATCATGACTCATGTATCAATCTTTCACAGACCATCTACCATGCTGTCTACATTGGAAATATTTGCAAGAAACAAAATCAGACCATTGACATTTTCAAACAGGTTTATTCTACTTTTTGTTGTGAAAATTTTTTGAGGTTGAATTCTTGAACAGTTCTAGGTTTTTGTATGTTTACAGAAGCACCAGTAAAGTCGGTTTCATGAAAATGTAAAAAATCATACCTATTTCTAGTTATTAGGAAAATCTCAAATTATGTTTCTAGAGGAAAACTCTTTTTAAAAGCTTTCTTTCTACTCGCATTTCCTTCTTGTTTGTCCAGCTTAATTTTATTTTGGACATTTGACCTTCTCATTCGGTTCTTTCAATCTTTCTCATGCTGACCTGAAAGGTCACTTGAGTTGATGACACAGAGTTACAGCTTTAGTATGTTGGGAAGAGGGAAGGAGGGTTAAGGTGGTGAGTGATGGAGAAATAAGAAAAAGTGATTTAAAAACAACCCTACCTCTTCGCTTACCATAAACTTCGGACCTAACTAGGATTTTGGGATTGGATGGGGGAAGATTTTAGGGTCAGTATTTTGGCAATTAGGCTCTGATCAATGGATAATTTGAGACCAGGGTTATGAAAAACTGCAGTTGTTAAAATATTCTTCTTAGTTTTATGCCTAGGTAAAGCGTTATGTCACTTTAACTTTAACTGAGATTTTTAAGCATTCATTGATTTAAAAAAGTAATAATTCTACTTTTGTAGATAATTTTAAGATTACAATTTTAATACTAAAAAATAAACTGTAGAAAATAAAAAAAAATATTTGTTTAAACTTTAAAAAAAAGACTTTCTATCAAAGACAAGCTTAAAAGCACTAAAGGTAGAAAATAATTTAAAATTTCTTAAAATGCATTATGCAAAGAAAGTCTGTGCAGCAAATATTTTCAAAAATTTATAAAAATGAAACATTTAATTTTGGTCTAAATTCAAGTTGAACACTTTGGCTACACAGAGGGTTTAGAGGGTTCGCCTACACTTCTGCACAGTTTTTTTTTTGACTCTGAATAAAAGTCTTGAGAGAACAAAATTTAACCGCCAGATGAGAAACGATTAGGGGCCACAGGAAACTGGAAATAAAACAAATGGTTGGTGACATCCCAATCAGTCAGTATATAGCCCAACAACAAGTTTGGCCACCTGGTCAGAATGCCTGTCAATCAACCTGATTGCAAACATTCTCTACCAAGCACTCTGGTTACAGGACCAGAGTAAGACCACACTGCAGTGGATCAACTGTATTAGACACCCTAAAGTCCACAACATGAACCTTCAGCAGGCCTCACACCTTGCTACTAATGACCCACTGAACCTCCCCACAATGTTTCCCTGGTAAAAGGGAACTGAGAAAAAAGAACATCAGGATACCTTTAGGTTATTCATGATTGTGCAGTAGAATCTGGAACTATTCCAACCTCAACAGGAGGGTCTGGAACAACATCTAACTTAACAGTAGGGTCTGGAACAACATTCAACTCAAATGTAGGGTCTGGAACAACATCTGACTCATCAGTAAGGCCTGGAACAAAATTAAACTCAACAGTAGGGTCTGGAACAATACTTAAATCAACAAGAGGGTCTGGAACAACATCTAACTCAAAAGTAATCTCTGGGACAACATCTGATTCATCAGTAAGGTCAGGAACAGCCCCTAACTCACATAAGACCAACCTGTGCATTATCTTGCAGGTATCATGTTGGGGCATGGATCACCTGCATGAGCTATAAACGGAACCTTCAATATCTGCTACTCTTTCAGAATACTTATATTAGAGGGTAAACTTTTTAAATACCACTGGCATCCTTCATTCTATTTAAACTAAAAAATCTCACAAAGAAATGTCTATTTACTAATTAGATATTAAATTTGTATAATTACAGTGTAGAATATTTGGAAACATAATACTGCTTAAATTTAAAATATAAATGCATTGTAAGAATTCAAATTATATTATAAATATATTCTAACATTTTCATTTAGATTAGCGCAACCTTTACAGATGAACTTCACCACTGTGCAAATTTAATATGCAGAACTGTAAGTATTAAAATAAACAAAAAGATTTTTATGAAATACTTCCAATAATGTAATGTTTAGTATATTAGCTATCACAAAGAGTGTTGTAATTAGGTGTTTATATAAGGATTTGGGGGTGGGGAGGGGGTAATGTGTCATCTGAGTAGCTAGATGATCTACGTTTCATTTTTTAATAGAAGTATTGATATGACATTTGTTTTAGCTGCAAGCCTTTGAAATATTTTACTAGATTTTTATCAAATTTTTGTTTTAAACTTAAATTAAGTTTTTAACAAAATATTGAAATTATTTCCAATTAATTAAGTATTAAATAGCATAAATATAATATGTTGTCATGTTTTTCAGATAGACTTTGAGGAATCCAAGCTTAAGAAGAGATTTGTTGTTAAGCCCAATGTTGATGACACTCTGGATGAAAGTAAGTTAGTCCCTTGAAGTTTAGTGGGAAATCATCCTCTTTCTTGTCCATTTTCTATTATTTTAAAATAATTTGTATAGAGGTCCACTATCCTTAAAAAGATGTTAATGCTAGAAACATAATATTACAATTAATTGTCCCACGCAAGTATGCTTTTATTTTGTAGTTGTAAAATTATTGGCATGAGTTATGCTATGATTTTGATAAATGTATCGTTGCCACAGAAAAGCGAACATACAATGGCTTGCCAGATTTTTTAAGCAATGTGGCTAGAGAAGAGCTTAAATGTTTGAGCAGCAACATTGAAGGTTGCGTGGTCAGCTATTTGCCACAGGTGAGTGTATTACAAACTCACTATTATGAATGCAATATATTTAAACAACACTTTTTTTATAATTCCTTCATTTGGTCATTTTGTTTTTCTCATTTTTTTAAATTAAAAAATGTTGTTGATAACAAAAAAGTAGTAAATAGACCAGTTACTAGAACATCATTAAGTTATTTATACCAATTACCACATCAAATAATAAATTTAGACAGATTTAATTTTAAACCTACAGAAATTATATTCAAATTATTATTTTTATTTGCAATGTATTTCTAACTAACCAATAACATTTTGGTGATGCCTGGCATTATATTTAATTCTAAAATTAAAAATAATTGATTGAGTGGTTTTCTCCTCACATCTCTTTGTTTTGAGATTGATCAATTTAGTTAAAATTAGACAAACTTATAATGATTTCTAGTTAGGATGTAACATCTTTTCAATAATAAATGTATATTGATCAATTTAGATTGGATACCTTCTTGTGATTACTATGCCTGAAGGACAAAATGAAAATGATGATCATACTATCCCAGGGCTTGAGTTTAAGGTAAGGGGATGAAGCATGAAGTTCAGTACGTTAGAAGCTCCATTTTTTTTTACTAATCATCAAAATAAGAAAAAAACATCAGGGTAGTCAAATACATATATTTTCTATAAATAACAACAACCATTGTTTTGTTTTAAAGCTTTGATCCTGAAAAACAAAGATTTTTAAGTCATGCTTATCTGTTATAACTCAAAATGACACCAATAATGATGCTTCCCTTCCTTGCTGGGTGACCAAATACAAGTCCAGATTAGCCCAAAGTCTAGATAACAAATGTGCAGATACTTAATATTCTAGTATAGTGTAGCCAATACAGGCATCCATGCAAATGATGTTTGAATAAGGTTATAATTTAATATTTCACAGCACTCATGGCCTTATTATGGTGTGTACTAGTTATTTGTTACATAAATTTCAGTTTGCCTCAAACAAACAGCTTTTCTACAAGTCTCCCAAAACAATGGGTAATATAAGGTCCCACCAAATTCTATACCCCAGTTTCAAGTTCAGTGTAGAGAAATGTGTTTTGTTACAACTTACATTTTTTGTTACAGTGTGTGGTCACATTCAGAGATCATTTTCTTATTTAATTGAACCATTTTTGGCCTGCTGCATTTTATTATTAACACTAAACTGTTTAAAATGATGTATCATTAATTCTACAGATCTGAATTACTCATACAACATACTGTTGTTATAATTTTTATGAAAAAAATTAATTTGCTCTCTGTTTCATGTTTCAAAAATAATTTGTTTGAGAAGTAATTCAAAATAATTTCACATTTCATTTGTATAATTTTAGTTTTTTTTCTTCATGATTTTGAATAGAAGATCACTTCTCATTTTATAATATGTTAACTAATTTGGCATTGTAAAAAATAAAATTGCTGCTTTCATATTTCCTCCACATTGGTTAATTTATTTTTCAAACAGTTTAATTGTTAGACATTTTATTCCATTATCATTTTTTAACCTCTTTTCAAATAACCTCATAGTGTTTTGGTTTATGTTTAACAAGTAATGCAAAATTCATTTTTTATCTTCATTTCATTGTGAACAAAACCAACAAATAATTGTCATTTAAATAATAATATCTCATCTTTACCTTTAGCGCTGGATAGCTTACTTGGAGACACACAGGTTGATATTATTGGTAAGTTTTATCATGACCTCTGCAGCCAAGTTATTCTTGCAGTCACTAAGCCATTTAAAATTATGATTGTTGGATATGTTGTCTTTTAGTAAAATTTAAAAATTCTTTTAAAAAATGTTTTGCCTTGAAATGTAGTAGTTAAATACTTAATCTCTGGCCTCAAACATTTTTGTTCTAAAGGCACTGAAGAAAAATGAAGCACTTCCATTACAATACAAAAACACTTAATTATGCTTTTATAGACATGCTTTCATTTGAATACTTGCTATATCAGTGATGTTAACTTTCTATGCATCTAATAGTCTTTGAAAAAAACATGTATCGTGTTAGTGTAATTTAACTTCTTTACTATTAAATAATGAAGTGAGTTTGATACGAAGAAAATGGGGTGATTCCTTCTTCTGAAAAAATTTTATCTTCTAGTTTAATAATTCGATAAAACTTTTTTTCAGAAATGGAAATGAACATCATGCTTGGTCTTCAGACGGCCATTTTAGAGAACACTCAAGTCTTACTTAATGTCATGGAAAAGGCTGCTGAATTGGACTGGTAGTTGATGTTTTGTAGGCAAATGTGGGGACTGGATCATTGTATTTAAACTTAATTGATTTGATTCACCATATTTAACATTGATTTAATTCACAATATTTAACATATATTGATCTGATTCACCCTATTTAACCTTGAGTTACCTCATTAGGCTTTTGATTTAAATTGGCCTTATTTGGAAAATATTATCTTCATTAAAGTTTTCTGTGACAATGCTATTGGCCATTGTAACCAGACAATGTAAACAAGTCATCTAAACATTTTATCCCAGCTTCACAGGACTGAGCATAGCTTTTTCAAACGCCCCACAGAATTTTTCATTTCACTATTTACAGGTTTAAAAACACTGGATAATTTTATAATTCTTTAGTTTGCAATGTTTAAATAACTAAATTGTTTTATTATTATTTATTGATTTCTTTTGTAACCAAGTTTGATGGCACTGGCCATATGTGCAAGTGAAGGTGCCTATGTCCAACCTAACCTTATTCAGGAAGAAGTCATTGACATCCAATCAGGAAGGTTAGAGTTGAACTTTTAGCAGTTTAATTCTTTCGATGTGGAATTTTTTTATAGTAAAAATTTACATTTTTTTCTGAAGAGTGGAAAAAGAGTGAGAGGTTGGGTTTATTAAAAAATATTTAAAATATTATTCTTTGGTTTATAAGACTAAACTTGGTATCAAATGAACGGTAATTGAAAGGAGTATATATTTTTACACTTATTTCTTCACTTGAAATAAAATAAGTTACAGAAAAGAACCATAAAATGTGAAATCATTTTATGCTAAACCATTTTTCCCCAAACCCAATGATGTACGCATACCTCATCTTCACTTCTATAACTCAATTCCTCTAAAACTACTACTATCGGAATCATGCGATGCATCTAAATATAAATCATCTTCACTATCAAGAGAAATAGTATAAAACAATTCCAAAGCTTTTTTAACTGTAAATGGTCTAGGAAACTTACCTAGTAGGGCCTAGAGTAGCCATAGCAACAGTAGAAAAAAAAACTTGAAGAAAATCATCAAAATAATGCTTTAAATGACAACAAATAAACCTTGGTTTCGCTTATAAACAATGAAGTGCCACTCTTCTATGTAAAAGTCTTATTTAAAAATAGCTCTTAAAATGTTTATTCGAGAAATAGCAAAGAAACAAATATGATATTGAAACAACGCACAGCGCATTGGTCCGTGCTTTTGAGAACGGCGGAAGAACGCAGTGTGCATTGTTCCGCATCGAAAGAGTTAAATATGAAATGATAACTTTTTACGTTTTGATTTGTAACAATTGAATACCCTGGTGATTTCTATAATTAGAATTTTCTTTCATTTGCTTCATCGTAAACTTGTTAAAGAAATCCTCACTAAATTGTTAGTGTGCTAATGAAAATATGTGTGATATTTTCTCCTAAATTAATCATTATTTGTGTATATTGTCAGACATCCTTTACAGGAGCTTTGTTGCAGTCCTTATGTGCCTAATGATACAAAAATGGGAGGTCAGTACAGCAAAATAAAGCTACTCACAGGACCAAATGCTTGTGGGAAAAGTGTTTACCTAAAACAGGTTAGAACTGCTTTTTTGCCTTTTCCAATATATAAAAATACTTTTTTACTTCGCCAATCAACAAGGTGAAATTAAGAGTATAAGTTTACATTTCTAGTCATCAACTCAACAAATTCATGTCACCTATACACTTGTGGTCATTAACTCAACTAATTCATATCATATGTGTACACCTGTAGTCATCAATTCAACAAATTTATATCATGCATACACTTGTACTCATCAATCTCAATAAATCCATATCATGTATACACCACTTTGCCACTGTTTATTTACCTTGCATATCTTCTCTGCAGGTTGCAATGATTGTCTTCATGGCCCACATAGGAAGCTTTGTGCCCGCTGAACAAGCCAACATAGGACCAGTGGATCAGATCTTCTCAAGAATCAAATCAGTGGACAGTGTGTCTGTAGGAATGTCCACGTTCTTGCAAGACAACATGCAGATGACAGAGGCCTTGCGTTCAGCAACATCAAAGTCACTTGTGATTGTGGACGAGTATGGCAAGGGCACAGAACCTGTGAGTTGCCCTGCTGCCAGTTTACATGTTTACATTCAGACATTTAAAAATAAATAGATTTTAAGTTAAGCTTTACAATCAATGCATCCTTTTAGCAGGTTTACTGTAAAGCTATATTTGTTTACATTTACTCAAACATCTTTATATCTATTGGGTTGGCAAAGTGAGCCCCCCCCACCCCCTTCCTAGACAAGCACGGCAGTGACTGCTGCTAGCTATGTGCTTGAATGAGTATTGGGGGTGACTGCTGCTAGCAATGGCTTGAATGAGTATTGGCAGTGACTGCTGATAGTAAAGTGCTTGAATGAGCATTTGCAGTGACTGCTGCTATCAATGTGTGAGTTAGTGTTGAAAGATTCTTTTAATACTAAAAATGTCCTGTTCTTCAATTTGGGATGCGAGGTTTCCAAACATAAATAATTAGATGAAGAAGAAATGGTGGCGATTTTTGTATTGGTGTATGGGTGTCCACAGATTTTTCCTATCAAGATGCAGAACAAGTCTGACCTGCATTTGTGGGTGAAAATTAAGCCACAACTCTGTAAAATACCAGTTTTTTATGATTCATTTACTGGCAAATTTATATTTAAAGAAATTTTTTTTTTTCAATATTGTACAACAAATGAGATACTTAAATGAACGATTGTCAACAAGTTTTAAGGGGGGGGCTCTCTATTTATCGAATCAATGTATCAATAATTCACTTTTGATTTTACAGATAGATGGTTTATCCCTTTTAACAGCTACAATAAAGTTTTGGATTGCTAAAGGCTTATCTTGCCCATTAGTGCTGGTATCCACCCACTACCACAGCATCATTCAACAAAAGTTGCTACCTAAATCCAGACAAATCCAGTTTTTAGTAAGTGATATTATTCTACAAATTTCTATATTAACTTTTATAGATTGTTTTCAAATTTTGAGAATACACATTATTCATTTCTGTGAACGGATCTTGTGATGCATTGTAAATAAATTGTGAGTTCACCCAATTATGATTGATTAAAAAGCACTTGAAACCAAAATTGGTTTTTGGAATCTGAGAAAATGGGTTTTAGGATCTGAGAAAAACATTTTGTGAAATCGTCCAAGGTTTTTTGGGTCTGTGTTTATTGCTTTGACTAGGAGATGACACATATGCCAGGTTATTTAACTTCAACACAGAAGCCAACCATTAGTCAGATATACAGACCCAATCAGTTTGGTGTCATATACAACACGCACCCCACCCCCAATTCTATACACACACAAATCACCCATATGTTAATAAAGTTGGTAAGCAACACAGTCGGAAGCAGTGTAATTATCTGGGATGTACATTCATTTTTTCATATCATCTGATGATTTTACAAGAACTTCCATCTATTTTGGTGGTCCTTAGTGTCTGATCTCAGCTTGTTCAGACTGTCAAAATAATAACAGCTTACTATGAACTGATTGTTTATATTATATTATGATGGCCCACGGACTTACAACACAATGACAAGATGCTATAAACTGATTGTTGCTATTATTTTATGATGGCCCACAGACACTAGAAACAGTAATGAATGAAGGTCAGCTGGTATTTCTCTATCAAATCAAAGAAGGTCACACCAGCTCAAGTTATGCATGTAACATAGCAGCACAAGTGGGTATGCCAGCCTCAGTTATACAGAGAGGAAATGAGGTTGGTAGTAATCTAGAGAAGTCTCAACAACCCTATAGTTATACCATCACAATGAGAACAACCTAAGGTCATACCTTTACATTGAGAATAACCCTATGGTCATACCTTTACTTTGAGAATAACCATAAAGTCTTACCATCACAATGAGAACAACCCTAAGGTCATACCATCACTTTGAAAATAACCATATGGTCATACCTCTACTTTGAGAATAACCATAAAGCCTTAACATCACATTTAGAACAACCCTAAGATCATACCATCACTTTGAAAATAACCACATGGTCATACCTTTACATTGAGAATAACCCTATGGTCATACCTTTACATTGAGAACAACCCTATGGTCATACCTTTACATTGAGAACAACTGTAAAGTCTTACCATCACTTTGAGAATAACTCTATGGTCATACCATCACTTTGAGAACAACACTATGGTCATACCATCACAATTGCTAGAGGTGATTCTTACACAATAAAAATGAAAACAAGGAAGGAAAGTGACGGTTTCATTAAAATTATTGAACTTACTAATTTTTTTTATGAAATAGGTGTCTTCACTTCTCAGTCAGTACAAAGCTGTGCCCCACATGAGAGACTCTCAAACTATACAACAGAATGAAAGGTGAGTTATGCCCCACTTGAGAGACCCTCAACAGTAGAATGAAAAGTGAGGTGTGACCCAAGTGTGGTCAGCATAATCCAGGGGTATAATTGCTAGATTTTCAGAGAGTGCACAGCACAAGTTTGGTTTTAGCTGGAGCTTCTGAAAGGATTGGTGAGACATCAGTAAATTATGTAGAAAAATTAATTGTTGATTGGAGATGGAGCAAGTAAAGCTATAGATCCCGTTCTAACTCATATAAAATCATTCATCACATATGTAACTAATAAAGGATTTTACTAGTGTCTGATCACATACCTTCTTGTGTTCATAACATATGTAGCTAATAAAGGATTTTACTAGTTTCTGATCACATACCTTCTTGTGTTCATATGATTGAGTTTTGTAAAATTGTTTTATATGTTCATATGTCATAATCACATTAATTTGAACAAAAGTCCCATTCTAAGAAAAAGCTAAACTTTATTCTGAGCTTTTATAATCTGGTCATACATGAATTCAAACATATATATTTAGATATAGTGCACCTTGATAGAGGAATACAATCCAAACTTTCCACTTACAGCTCATACAGCAACTGGCAAACAATACCACATAATCCAAGCAAATCTAGACACTACGGCACAGAAAAATATAATCATGTCACGAATAAGTCACAAGCCTGGTGGTGCGCATAAACAAAATTAACAGCCAATACAAAAGCACACAATGAAACACAACATATGGTGTGCAAAAATTTCAAGTGAATATCCATGGTCAACATACATACCAACCTGGATATTGTCATTCAAGTATCGAATTACAAGCAGTTCCATTGAATAAACCATTGAAGATGCTGTTAAAATTAGACTTAGAAGATGTTTGTAATTTCAGTGAAAACAAATGTACAGCATAGTGAAAATAAAATTCAACTCATTTGTCATTTTGTTTTCCACTAGGCATGAAAAAATTGTTGAGGCGTTTTTAAGACTGGACTTAGACACTGATGACATCCAAGCATTCGTGACGGGGTTTGTTCTTCCCATGTTGAATAAATCAACTGCCAGTGATCAGCAATCTTCAAAGACACCTCAACAGGTAGACATGTGGGCTCCTATTTAAATTTGTTTACTTAAGTTTCCTCTCCCACTTGTAATGGCAAATTTTGAATCAAAGGAACATATTGTCTACATATCAATCTGTATAGCATCATCTGTATAAAATGTTTGATACAACTGATTCCCTTTGGGAGTTGAATGCGCTCTATAGTGCAAGTTTTTCTATGGGGGAGTAATTAGACTTTTTTAAAAATAACTTTTATGTCTTACAGATTTTAGATCTACCAAATAAAATTACTTGTGTGTCTTACTGATTTCAGATTTATGAGATAAAATAAATTTTGTGCTTTACAGAGTTCAGATCTACCAAAGAGATTAGCCAAACCAAGCATGGCAAACAATGATCAGAGAGAAACTTCCATGAAAGAGTTTTCCATGAATAGACCTGAGCCACATGAGTTGACTAGAATAGCTGCACATCAATCCCTAACAACAAGTACAGACCCTTTCTTGATGGACCATTCATTAACAGGCATCAATAGGTGCTCAACAGTAAGCAACTCATTATCCAGCACAGTAGTGAACCCTGTGACATCAAGTAACAAACAACCACTTGGCAGTATATCATCAGATAAGAAAAGCACTTCTTTGAACCATGTGATGACGTCAAGTAACCAACAACCACTATGGAGTCTGTCATCAGATAAGAAAAGCACCACTATGAACGCTGTGATGACCTCAAGTAACCAACAACCACTCTGGGGTCCGTCATCAGATAAAAGCACTTCTATGAACCCTGTGATGAAATCAAGTAACCAACAACCACTCTGGGGTCTGTCATCAGATAAAAGCACTACTATGAACCCTGTGATGAAATCAAGTAATCAACAACCACGATGGGGTCTGTCATCAGATAAGAAAAGCACTACTATGAATCCTGTGATGACATCAAGTAAAAAACGACCACACGGTGGTCTGTCATCAGATAGGAAAAGCACTACTATGAACCCTGTGACGACATCAAGAAATAAACAACCACATGAGGGTCTGTCATCAGGAAACCAAATTGAAAACCCTGAAAGCAAAGACAAAGAATCAACAGCAGTTGAGGTGACTCCGTTCTCAGATGTAGCCAGGAAAGATTTGTCAACTATTTGTGACTCACAAGGCTCAGCTAGGAGGGTGACTCATGTGCCTGGACTGTCCAGCAAACGAACTCCCCCAACAAGTAGCACAGCGTCACCTCAGTCAGGCAACACAAGTAGTGTCAATACCCAAGACGACAGCAGGGCAACATCTGAAATCCAAAGAAAATCTCAAAGCTCATCATCCACTCCTGCTGCAAACAGAGCACATAGAAAACTAGACTTGAGATTTTTGTTTAAAGCCAAGAAGCCAAAACTTGAGAAAACTGCCAGCTTTTTCCATGATGATGACCCAGAAAGTCAAAGATATAACATGGTGTCAATCAGTGCAGTGAAGAAAGAAAAATTAGATCAAGAGGGCTTTTTAACTACTGGCAGCAGCACCGTTCCCCCTGAAATTTCTGAAACGTCAGAGGAACAGGAAACTCCTGGCTGCAAGCAACACATTTCAACAGAGCTTAGTACAAGTACATAACAATATTTGTTGAACAGCCAAGTTTTATACACTTGAGTAAACAGATACAGTTGTTTATTTATTGCTTAGTTAATTCTTAGTAATTTTAGTCAAAGTGTTTGCCACATTATTGTTCTGAGCAAATCTGGATATCTATTGAATTATTCAAATATGTGCTCAATCAGTTTTCAAAATGAGAGCTCATTGAATGAGGTTTCAATTTGAACATCATTAATATAGTGTTACTTCAATTTTTCCCAAATTATTTTACAAGTTTCCAGTAAAATGTTATTTTTGTCTGTTTATGGTTGAGTTGCTATTTCCATGTGAGTTCTGTTTCTAGTTGACATCCCTTGATTTAGTCCATGCTTTAATTTAGCAATGCCTTTCAAAAGTTGAACAGTTTATGAAGTTGTAGAAAAAGCTAATCAGTTTAAAAAAAATTAAATCCATAATTTTTAGACCAAAAAACTGAATCGTTATAAATTATGTGATGTATGTGTGATGGTGCTGGTAACAAAGTCAGGGATGGAGGTGACAATGGTCATGATTGTTGTGATAACAGCGACAACAGACGAGCTGTGGGTGAAGTTCAAGACTACAATCACTGATGCAGTGACGAAATTTATACCACACCAAATCACCAAACCTAGGATAAATCAGCCATGGGTCACGGCTGAAATCCGTAGGCTCATCCACAGGAGAGACCGCCAATACAAACGCATGAAGAAAAATGGCTCGATGGAACTGAGAGAGGAGGTACTGAGACTCCGCCGAACCATTCAACGCTTATTGCGTAGATCGTATTGGAACTACATGAACGGCATCTTCTCAGAGGAAGACACCCCGACAAAAGATGTCAAGAACAAGCGCTTCTGGAGCTATGTGAAGCACCAAAAGTCCTCAAACGCTGGAGTTTCCCCCTTGAGGTGGGATGGCCAATTGACATCTGACCCAAAAGCACAGGCGGAGATACTCAATCAGCAGTTCCAGTCGGTCTTTGGTGACGGTAGAGAGTACTCTGAGACTGAGTTCCTTCTGAAAACCAAAATGATGAACAGAGCCTATCCTATCATGGGAGATATCCAGATATCAGAACAAGGTGTGTTTGCCCTCCTCAATACCATTAACCCTTACAAAGCATGTGGTCCTGACAACATTAAACCACGAGTGCTCAAAGAATTAGCCAAAGAAATCGCTCCTGCACTGACAATCCTCTTCCAATCGTCACTATGCACAGGAAATGTTCCAGCAGACTGGAGAACAGCGCATGTCACTCCAATTTACAAGAAAGGAGAGCATTCCGACCCTGCCAACTATCGTCCGATATCCCTCACTAGCGTCGTCTGCAAATTGTTGGAGCACATAATCGTAAGCTCTGTCATGAAGCATCTTGAAAGCCAAAATATACTCAATGACTGTCAACATGGCTTCCGAGTCAATAGGTCATGTGAGACCCAGCTTCTCGAATTTGTAGAAGACTTGATGACCAATCTGGAGAACCACAAGCAGACTGACGTGCTAGTAATGGACTTCGCAAAAGCATTTGACCGGGTGAATCATAGTTTGCTTCTACACAAACTCCAGATATATGGGATTCAAGGCACCACTAAAACATGGATCTCTAGCTTCCTCAGCCACCGACGCCAAGCAGTAGTGGTGGGCGGTACAAGCTCCTCCTTTGTCAATGTGAAGTCAGGGGTCCCCCAGGGATCAGTCCTGGGCCCCTGTTTGTTCCTAGCATACATTAATGACCTACCGGAGAAACTGACATCACAGGCAAGACTGTTTGCAGATGACACAGCAGTGTATAGGACGATCGCCAACAGATCTGACCAGGACCAGCTACAACAGGATCTCAATCTGTTAGCTGAGTGGGAGATGAGCTGGGACATGGAATTTCACCCTGCCAAGTGCCAGACACTATCAATCTCTAGAAGTTGTACTCCTCTACACTACCAATACAAACTGCACGGCCATATTCTTGAGCAAGTTTCCTCCGTAAAGTACCTGGGTGTTACCATTCAAAGAGAGGTCCGATGGGATGAACATATTAACAATGTATGTAACCAAGCAAACAAGACCCTAGGGTTCTTAAGGCGAAATCTAAAGATTGGCAACTCCTGTGTGAAAGAAAGAGCATATAAAGCCTTTATCCGTCCGATTTTAGATTATGCATCTTCAGTCTGGGACCCATTTACCCAGAAGAGCATTGACAGGTTGGAGGCGGTCCAGCGACGAGCAGCACGCTTTGTCCTAAACCGCTACAGGAATACCTCAAGTGTTGGCAGCATGCTAGAAACACTAGGCTGGTCACCATTGGAGAAACGACGACGACAATCCAGGCTCTCCATGATGTACAAGATAAATAATGGGCTGGTCCACTGTTCCAGTATTAAACAGAAACTCGTACCTCTCCCCCATAGACAGCGACGAGGCCATGACAGGCAATTCAGGCTCATACCAGCAAGAAGCCAGTATAGGAGCTGCTCATTCCTGCCCAAGACAATCAGGGACTGGAACAATCTTTCAAAAGGAACGGTTGAGGCGACAACACTAGACACATTTGTGTCTATTGCCTCAAGCCTTCAAACCCCCAGTGCATGATTCCCTCACAAAGTGGCACTGGAAATCTGTGAAATTTCCTTATCAACACCAGGAACAGAAACATTGCAAATCCCATCTACATGCATAGGAGCCAAAATGATCAATAAATTGATCGTGGGCCCTTAATATATAGAAGAAGAAGAAGAAGATAACGAAGGTATGGATGGAGAGACGACAGTGGTAATGAAGGTATGGATGGAGAGATGACAGTGGTAATGACCATATTGTTGGATATAGGAGTAAAACGTTTTAAACTAATTACTATTGTGAATAAATTGAGCTATCAAGGATTATCACTTAAGTAGTAAGCATTAGGCCTACTCTGAGGGGTCATTTGGCCTACCCAGAGGGGTCATTTGGCCTACCCAGAGGGGTCATTAGGCCTACCCAGAGGGGTCATTAGGCCTACTCAGAGGGGTCATTAGGCCTACTCAGAAGGGTCATTAGGCCTACCCAGAGGGGTCATTAAGGTTGGTGTCATTCGTGCAGTAAACACATAGCGTCACCCCACCCTTTTTCCATGGACACTCCCCGAATCCCGAGGACCTGCACTAAGTAATTCTTAACCAGTTCATCCAGAACTGCTTATTCAAATATTGATTGTATTTTTATTGTTTGTAAACCAGGTCCTAAAGCAAGCACAGACATGAGAAGAAAACACAGAATTGCAGATAACAGTGGTTAAAACTTGTAACATTATAATATATTTTTTATTGAAAACATTGCAGTTAAATCTTTACTTTCATGTCTTCAAAGATGCAAACATGTCAAGTACTTCATTAAAACCAACATTCTTGCCTGATAAATTTCACTTGACAAAATCGCAAGACCAGTAAGCCTGTACCGGTACTGTAAAGTTTCATGATAGAGCACAAAGAGTTCTTTATAATACATTTCAGTTTTCCCATCCCTGGTCTGGTGGAATTCTGCAAAGTTGGCTCCCTGTTTCGTCTGACGACACCCTGCTTTGAAGGCATCCCACTCTGATGGCACCCTGTTATTTTATTTTATTTTTTAACAGTTCTGCTATGAATCCTACTTTGGGTGAGCGGACTGGGTTAGGAATGCGATAACACCAAGGGAAGTCACTCGGGCTATCCTACTGCGGGGCAACTTGAGGGGAGGGAAAGGTATTATTTTACAATGGTTTCCAATGGCGGATTTACGGTGGAAGAATTTTACAAAGACCAGCTTCAGATCGTCACATAGAGCACTGTAATAGCAGGCATGTTCACCACGTGCCAGGCATGGGTGGAAACTCAACAGTTTCAAAAATTTTTTGTCATGTTTTAATATAGTTTTAATTTACTCTAGCGTATTTGTATGGTGAACGAACAGACAGGACATCAGCTTAGTTACTTTCTCTTTATTTTCTCTTTACTTTAATACAATTTTTGTCTAAAAATATTGTATCCAATCAATCCATTGGGGGGGGGGGGGAGGAGGGCCCTCCTTCCCCCCCCCCCCCC